ATGGAATCTCAAATTTGGCAAGAGACAAGAAAAAGACACAAAAAGTTGATAATCAATAGCACATGAATTTTCCTTTAATCATGGAATCACTTATTCTTCTTCTTCCTTCAAACCCTAAATCTTACTAGTGACTCTGCGATTGGTTAAAAGTAATCATAGAAATGATTGAATGACAGACCTAAAGATGAATAATAGAATTGAATAGCAAGTTCATTGAAATGGAAACCTGAAAAAATAATCTCTTTGGAAGAAAATGGAAAAAAAGAAAAAAAATCTTTTTCTCTTTTCTCAGGTTATACAGTATCAAAAGAGGTTCGATTATTCAACAATTTAAAGAAGATCAGAAAATGGTAAATTCAATGAAAACTTTTGATAACATTTGATGCCATGAAAAAAGAAAACTGAATCATGCAAAAGTGAAAAATGTGATTTTGAATAATATTGAAAGTCTAAAGGTATTTGTTGATAATTTCATGCTAATAAAGGTTGAATATTCAAATGAATAATGAATCATGAAAAATGTTATTTTTCAAGTTCTCTTCATGATGCTTTCCTTGACCTGAATCCATTCATCATTTACAAAAGTAAAAGACTTTCTGATGGTTTAAGGGCATGAAGCTGGGAGTTTAAACTCCCTGAAACTGGAAATGATAGTAAAAAGAGTTTTCCATTTTTTGTACTTTTGAATAAAGCAAGTTGTTTAAATGTTAATTAGAAGCAAAAATTTGGTTCGCTTTAAAAATTTAACCTTTTATCATGAAAGCCATTTTCCTTTTTGACCAAACTCTACATTCAGGTTTCAAATGATTAAATTAATGGAACCAGTTTCAGGTGGGAAAACATTGTAAAGCTAAATTGAGTTAACACAATCTGATTATCATTTTTTCTCGTTTTAATCTTTTTTGTTTTCTTCTCGTTCCTTTCATCACCTAAATGTCCATTTGATTGGATCAGATTTAATAGCTTAACTTTGCGCACCTTTTCATCTTGTATTTTGTCTTTTTTTACTCAATATTGTGATTGATTGTCAAAGGTCAACACTGAAGACAAAAAAATTCCTGGTTTCTATTTTTTGTTTTGCTTCGTTTTTCTCTTTTTTTGCTTATTGTCTCTTGACCATTTTGACTGTTTTTTCACAGCTTTTTGATGCTCTGCTTTTGCTCTTCATCTTTTCAAAATATTTCTTGTTCCTGACCAGTGACTTTTCAACAATCATTGGATTCAACTTTTCTCTTCTTTAAGGGATTGTAATGAAACAAAAGTGGACAGTTTCAAGACACTCATGGTGAGACTCACTCGAGTATTGTGAGGTGAAAGGAAAAAGCCTCAGATTCGTATTGATCCATCAAAAATGTCGAGCAGTTTTAAAGGAAAGGAAAAGAATGAAAATCAAGTTTCAAGCCTCTTTTCTTGCCTTTGCTATACAATTACCTGGACAAGGAAAAGGCTAACTTTTGCTTCTTTAAGTTTAACTTGGAGTTTTTTTGTTATCTTATTCTCTTTCCTTGAGTCTTTTTGCTTTTTTCTTTTTTCTTTTTTCAAGTTTTCTGTTTCACTGAATATCCTCAGGAGAAGCGGGATGAAAAGATGATTATGAGGATGATAATGATGAGGGTTGTTTCCATAGAAATTTTCCTCTATTTAGTCAGCTTCAGGTAAAGAGTAAGAATGAGCAATGCTGATGAATACAAAGAACTTTCAGTAAAGATAAATTTTTCTCCGGAAACTAGGAATCTATTGAACTTCATCTAATAGTTTCACTTTTTTGCTACTCTGTTGTTACTTTGTTGTCTAGCAAGAAGAACCAGTGGAAGAGAATAAACGGAAAGACAGAATTGTATGCATGTTGAACACTAGCATAAGTACATTCATAACTCATTTGAGTAAAAAATAAGTAAATAATTATCGAAAATTTTCGGGTTTTAAGGATGAATCTTAAGTTTTCTAGTCAATGGTGGCAGTGAAAGTATACAGGACAACTTCAAATAGTGATTGCAGTTATCAGATAAACGATTTATACAAAAACTGGGATTGAACTGCAACTTTTTAAAAGTGAATGATTATGAATATTGGCGAGTGATTTTCATCATTCATCATCCAGAAAATTTTAATAGTAATCGATAGAGCGCTCTTGATTGTACAAGCAATGTTCAAACCTACAGAAAATCGCGAAATCAAGGTTGAAAAATGAGGTCAAAAAGCAAATTTATTTGCATTTTTAAGTTTGAAGTTTTTTAATGGCATAATGGTTTTTAGCTATGTATAACATGGCACAATGTTTCGTTCTTTTCTTTAAGTATTTATATTTTAGTTTTGAATAGCTCAAATCCGTTTGAAAGAAACAGTAGCATTAACCAGCCATCAGCATGAGGATGACGATTTGAATCTATGATGATCACGGACAACCTGATGTACGTGCCAACATCACGTTAGAGCGCAACCTAATGTTGCTACTGAAAGTGAGATTCAACTCGGGCTGCGTCGTTCATGAGATAGTTTATGGGTTCTCATCAAAGTCGGATCTCTCTCATTCACACCACCACAAAAACGAATTCCACATCAGCACTTCTTTTAGATAAAGTACCGAGCGTTTTTTCATTTTACGCCTTCATGCAGGCATAACTCACGAACGGTTAGTGCTACAAACTTTAGACTTGAACCATGAGCTTATTCAGATTGCACAATGATAATTTCAAGTGCTTAAAGTTATACAAGGTCAATTCTTTATTTGACCTCTAATTGACATTGCGAGGTCTTTACCTGAAATCGTAAAATTTTTCTGACCCGATAGTGTTAGTTACATGTTCATAACTCATACCGTTGGAAAGATGGAATGAATTTTTCCTGATCAACTGAACGTTAAGGGGTCACCCATATCCTTTAGCCAGTATGAGTTATGAAGTTTGTAGCACTAATTGTTCGTGAGTTATGCCTGCCTGAAGGCGTAAAATGAAAAAAACGCCCGGTATCATGGTTTATTTCGGTACATTACATTATTCGTACGTGTATAATATTAATTCTACATAACAACATAGTACGATTGCAAAATTAAGCAGGAGAATCCCAGCATGTTTATTGACATTTTGTCTCATTTTATCACCATCTACGGCACGCATGCAAGACGTTCTGCACATGGACACTCAGCAATATATAGATGCTTCTGACCAATTACATGTTGCTGATTAAATGCAAAATTCTCGTTCTTGTTCTTAAATTTCTTATAAACGTCACGTTTAAAGTTCATTAACAGGTGAATTACCTCGATTATTTTCATCAACGTTTGAACTACTAGTACCCATAAATTTTTGATAGGTTTGAGATCAGGTGTGCAAGCTGGCAATCTTAGAAAACCAATTGTATTAGCTTCAATAACAGATTTCGTTGCATTGCTCACGCATATGGACGCATTTTCTCGTTGAAATTTCCATTCATCTCCATCGTAGTGCAATTTGATAACATGTTATCTGTAAAAACTTATTGATAATCACCAGAGTTCATTTTTCATGAAATTACAGCCTCAGGAAGCACATCATTATATCAGAATGTACCCCAAATCATTAACGCTATATCACCAAAATTCCTTCTCCGAAAAAATCTGCTTTTCTTCTCGAAGATCAACAATTTTTATCTTGGGGAGATTTGAAATTTTATTTCATTCAAATTTTGATTTGGTAATGTTGATTTTGTCATAGTATTCAATTTTTTTTCGTCGACTTTTATGCAAAATTGCTTTGCAAACTACCATCGTAGTAGCAAATGCAAGATAAAAGATTACATAACCCTTTGAATCATTGTTTGGTCAATGTCCAGCCATTCCTTCGAGATTGATACTTTAAATTCATTTACGTCACAATACTGACGTCCATTTGCATAATATTTTTGCTTGCGGGCTAATATTGACCAAACATTCTCCATTGGACTCAAATCAGACGATCTTGATAGCCATTTCATTACCTCAATAGATTGGTTAGATAACCATTCTTTGGTAGCTGCAAAAACGTGGATAGAGGCATTATCTTGTTGAAATATTGCATTATTTTCGCACAATTTTTTGATTAATGGCAGCATATATTGATTTAATAGTCTGCAGAGTTCATAGTAGTTTTGCAAAAAGCAATATCAGTTACACCATTGGCTTGCGGAACTCGATATTTTCAACTCTTCTTGCAGCATTATAAACGGTTTCTCTTGAACAATCCAAATTCAGCTCCCAATTGTCTCCTCACACAATTGTCTCCTTCCTGTGTAATGTGACGCAAAACATGTCGAACATCTCGATCATTGAGTATTGGTTTAGGTCCAAGACGATTTTTGCGGTTAGAGCGCTCTGAATTTGATACTGATGGTTCGCAATTTTAGAGCGATTCAGTTTCTAAGCAATGTAACCTTTCAGATTTAACTTCAACTCGATACGAAATAATTTTACTAATTTCACGCGAATTTAACACAAAAAAGACTAAGAAAGCACAAAAATTGAACAAATGAACAACTACTATTGATATCTATTGTTCAAAATGTCGGAAACTGCTTGCAATCAACCCTTTCTAAACAAAAATTAGCTTGGTATTTATCCCATCAGACGCAAACATATAGGTCCAGAATGTTTATTATGCTAAAATTAAGATTAACTTAAATCCAATTGTTTTTACTTTTCTTATTCTAATCCATAGTCAGACAATAAACAGTTTCGAAAAGCTTCAGATGCTAAACAAACATTTAAATTGAAAAAATATGACAATCAGATGCTGGTCTTAATGCTATCAAACACAGTGTATAACACCGCATCATAAAAAATTTGATTCAAAAAAATCATTTGTGGCTTTGCAGTTTCGATAGAAACCCTGAAACTTTTTTAAAAGTGCATTTGAGCAGCTGAAAATTAACACTCAACACGCTCTTTTGAATGAGCTTCATTGTACATAAAAATCGGTGAGTACCAATTCGCGTGGTTCCCTTGTTAGTCACAACTCTTAACTTTAAAAAGAATTTTACACCAGCACTTCTTTTAGTTAAAGTATTTCGGTTTATTACATTATCCGTACGTGTTTAATATTCACTTTATCAATATGGTATGATTTCAAAATTAATCTGTATCATTTATTTTTTTACATGTTCCCATTACCTCTCCGACTATACCATCTTTGGCCACACATTCAAGACCTTCTTGACATGGACACGCACCCTGATATACATGTTTCTTACCCATTTCCCCAATTGACTTTATGTTACAATAATTGTTCACTTCCTTTAATTTCTTGCACTTTCCAACTGAAAAATAAAAAATATCATACTATATCAACACTATCCAGACAAGTTCACACATTTAAAAAGTATCTCTTGTAAGGCAATTAACTCAAGAAATAAGAAAGTCATGAAAAAGAAAAGACTTACCAATTGTTTGGACTTTTACACAACATTCGCCTTTCTGACAAGCCTCCGGGTTAGAGTAACAGTTTTGCGACGATGCGCTGCCAATTATCTGCAATTGAAAACGTAAAAATATAATTTGGATACATTTTACATTTGATTTTGAATTTCTAAAGACAAAGTAAAACTCACGAAAAATACGAAGTACATAAGTAAAAAACATACGTATGAAAGATTCATTTTCAGCAAAAAGAAATTGCAATTGCTTTAGAACTAGAACGTTTATGTTTGAATGGAAAGCAAACCTTTGCATTAGCTTTATATACATGCGTTTTATTTAAACAGCTTAAATGTAAGAGAATATTCGTTTCCCATACATAAGATGACTTTGTTGTCGTCTATGTTGTCATACATGATATAGTGTATGCAAATGATATATAAGGATATGGTGACTGAGTAACTGTTAGAAACTGTTTGCGCTAATTTGACAAAACTCCATAGATTGAAGGTAGCTTATGTCTGTTAAGAGAAGGCACATAAGCAAGGAAACTTCGTTATCATGCTGTTTATTATCTTTTTAATGAATGAAAATACTGATCAGATCAGGTAGAAAAAATATGGTATACAAAGGCCTGGATTTTTCAATAATTTGGATTCAAACTTATTTGATTGATAGTTGAATAAGTGTTATAATTTGATATGTTAGTTTAATTATTATATACATGAAAATAGTAAAATGTTTCCGTATCCGTCATCTGTGCTTATGTAAACAATTTCCATCAATTCAATGTAAATGTAACTTTTAAATTGGAATATGTATCAGAATGGAGAAACCAAACCATGTTGCGAGACAAGAACCAAGTTCTTAAAACAATTTACATTTAACTCACAAATAATATTAATAGTATAATTAATAATAGTTAAATCGCCGTGCTTGCAATTTTTCCATTTATTTGAGAGACACGAATTGGTTAATAGCTAGTGGAAAATATTCTGACACATTTTTTAGGAAAAGGTTGCTGAATAATGTTAAATTAAACAGCTAAATTGAAGAGATTCTCATTCTATCAGCTTTGTTCTGCTTTATTTTTTTGCAACTTTCATACGCGTTTACTGAGATAAAGTTCACGCCAATAGAAATCTGCTTATGAGGACTTTTGTTCATTTAAATGCCCTCTATCGATTGGCGATCAATACTCTGACGTAAAACGGGCACTTTTACATAGGCTGTCACCCTTCTTTGTTACATGGTCTCTCCGGTTTCAATTATGGTCTAAATGTCTCGATCAACGATAAATTTTCACCATCACTCAAATGCATTAATTTTGAAAACTATTAAAAGTTTAAATGAAAATTTTCTGAAATAGTTTCAGTGTAAGAAAAATTTTCTTAGCAAGTGAATATCAGATAGTAATTTTCAATCTACCGGTACTAGTATTAACCACTTTGATGCGTCAATCGTTTGTAGTTGATGTAAGCACTTGCACTTCTTAAGCATCAACTTGGGAATCATTATTCAGTATCAGCTAACCTGATGGTCGATTGAATTGCCCTCCAGGCTCAATCATTAAGATAACTTTTATTCATTTTACATGATCTTCATCATCATTGATTAGTCTTATTCTCTTTTTTTATCTTCCTTCCTTCCAAACCAATCTTTCCATGAGCATCATAATCATCAGTTAACTTTCCTTTTCTTCCCATTCCAATGGATATCATTATTGTCATTATTATACTTATCATTTCACAGCCTCAAGAAGCTTATTAAATGGTGAATTGAGCTTACTTGGAACCACCAGAAAGAGAATCATTTTTCAATGGTCAACCCATTATCATCATCAATGGTCAATATAATGATCTAATGAAAAAAGAAAGAAAGAAAGAAGAAAATGGTAAATCTCATTCTCTTTTCCAATTGATGACTTTAATATCCTCGACAATTAAGGGAAGACGCTAAATTGTAATATAATGATGGGCAACTTGTTAATATATTTTCATGTTTTCTGAGAAAAAAAGAGTTCCAATCAACTTGAAACTTTGGTTGAAAACATATTTTCATGGTTCTCTTGAAATCAATGAAATTGTCAACAAAACTGACTAATAATCAACTAAATTGAAGTTGATTAACAAATGATTAGTCATTGATTTTCCCATGAATAGAAACAGACTCTGCTAAGCAAACATTAATCTCATCAGTTGAATCTTCTTTGTGTTTCTAAATGAATTGAGTTAAAAGTTTGGAAATTAATTACGAACTAATTACATTCATTTTACTCAATTTCCAGCCTAACCAATCATCTAATGAAATATCAATAACCAAAGACGATAACATCTTTTGAATGGGAAAAAATGTTTAATAAAAAAACTTGTAAAGCGACAAAAATGGCTGGAAAAAAGTCAAGTCATTAGTAATTAGTAAGGTTAAAGGTGTTATCTATCGTTAAAAGTTCCTGACGAATTTGTTTTTAGCTGTTATCTCAGGTATAATATATTTAACCAGAAAGTAATTTCAGTTTACTCAGTAACAACATCACCTAAAAATAATCTTTACTCAGCAAAAAGAAGTAGAAAACAGAGAAAACATGGAATGATCAATCGATATCGAATGATGATGATAATCAACATCATTATCTTCATCATTCCAATGGTTAGGGCTCGTTTTTTAGCCTTTTGCTGAAACATTATTTAATAATAATAATTGATAAGCAAAGGTAGCAAGGTTTTAACAAGAATAAGCTCAATCTGTTTCCAAAGGTAAAGACAATTTTGTTTTTGCCTGTTCTTGGTTAATCCAATCAATGGCAAGATATTTTTATTGATCAAAATGTTGAATAACAATCACTAGCAAGTAAACAATGTTTCAATTTTCAGGTTTCGTGTTCCATGTTTGACGATAATATTTACTATTGTAGCTGGTTCGTCTGGGAAATAGCACTTATCTGTTTTCGCTTTTGCTGCATTAATTGAATAGTGGTAATATTTTTGAATCTGCTGAATAAAAGCGAGCAAAATAAAAAATTAGAAACTGAAAGGCCAAAACAAAAGCTCAAAATGCTGAATGTTGTGTAGACATTATTCGAATGTACCCATGAGAGTCAAAGAGTAAATCAGGTTCAGTTGAAGGTGAGAACAAAATTAAGCCACCATAAGGACCAATCTCATTGACGAAGGTTTTCACCTTGATCTGGTATTGTTGAACTGCTGCCTGAAATTGGCTGTGAATCAAGAATTTTGATCCCTCATCAAGCCCAATGAAGTGCAAGTAACTCGGGTAAACTACAAACTCGTTTGAAGAGACTTGATCAAAGTTGGGTTTGGTCACAATATCAGTCCTTTAAACATAAATCATAGCTTTTGCATAGAGAGTAAAGACGACAGTTGGGTTGTTAAAGAGCGTCAAGTAGATTGTTGCTTTGAAAGTTTACATCTGTTTGAGCAAACTGATCTGCATTAACATCAATTTGATTACAGGATCTTGATCGTGTTTTAGGTGCTTCCAGTCGAATTTAAAATGAAAATTCAAAACCATGAGTGATTGAGGTGAGAAAATTGTGATTCTAGCTTTGATGGGTAGAATTTCATTGAAACAAGAAATGCCCAAGTATTAAATGAGAGGAAAAATTTGAATTTCGCCAATTCCATCTTTTCCAATTGGTAAAACGTTTGTAAAATCTCGAGTATTAATACTGTGAATCATGGGAACTGGATCAATTGTATATTTTTTAATGTAACCAATGTTTGCTGCTATAAAGACACAATAAACACAGATATCAAATTTGTAGAAAAATCGACACAATGGGCAAAATTAATTAATTTCCTTCTAATTCAAACTCTGTTGGTTTTGAAGACATGAAAACTGAATCAATTTGTGCCATTTAAAAATTTCTCAGATGAAAAGTTTTCTAGAAAATCGAAATCAAAGTTGAAACTTCGATGGCTTTTTGTACAGTTACGGCAGCAGATTCTTGCACCAAACTCATTTTAACGATGTAGGTTTTAATTATCAACCAGAAAACTCACTTTATTACATGAAATAAAATTTTAAGTTTCCTTAAAACAGATTAGTTCGATTTTCAAATAAATCGACAGCTTTCTGTGGCCATAAGTTTTAGCGACATCAAACTTACTATCCGTCCACAAAAATTGTTTGTGAACATCAAGGATGAAATACTTTTCTCAATTTATCTGTAGTTCTCCTGATTTTGGCCATTGCACTCGAAACTATGCGCCTAAATATTTCGAGAATGGCATCACTTACAATAAACATTCTTGCACAAATTAATTCTTTACTAATGAATAATTTAATTCAATTCAATAATTTTCCTAAACCGCATTTGGGTCATGATATTTTGGCTGTAAATGCACGAACAACAACTTATTTAACAAAACAAACTCATTGCAACCCATTTCTGATTAAATAAACCAATTTTCTGGTTAAACTTACAAATGAAATGCAATGAGTGCTGCTAAAAGCTCGAACATTTGGGTTAAGAGTTGAGACTTGGTGGGGTTTGTAGGGAAACAAGAACTGAGTCCATTAGTCCTATTAAATAACTCATACGATGGTTAGTCTTAGAGTAAATTAAGGTCAAAGTTTAAAGTTCGATCGCGTTTTGTACTATTATGGAAGCATCTTTTTCCATGAAACTCATATCAACTATGTAAATTTCAATAAGCAACCAGAAAATGCAATTCATTACATGAAATAAAATTTTGAGTTTCCTCAAAACAGATAAGTTCGATTTTCATTTAAATCGACCGATCTCTGGGACCATAAGAGTTAGAGTGATGTAACTTGTTATTAGACCCTAAAAATTATTTGTCAACTGCATGGGTTGAATAATTGCAACAATTTTCCAACAGTTCTCTTGATTTTGGCCATTGGCCTTAAAACTTTGGACATGAATATTTCGAGAACGACATCGCCTACAATCATCATTCTTTCACCAAACATTAGCTTTTATTATGGGCTACAAGATAATATAACTGAATATATTTAATAATGAATATCCTTCTAACACACAAGATCTGTGTTTAGTAATCATTCAACTTTATAAATCCAATCTCACATCTGACAACATAAGTAATAAAATGCTAAAACTTTATTATCAGGACTTTGTATGATTTAATACTTCGTTATATCATAGCACATAATAAAATCTATTGTTAGGTGAAAGAATGGAGATTGTAGGTGCGTACCATTCACGAAATATTCACGTTCAAAGTTATCAGGACGATGGCCAAGATTACGAGAACTAATAAGGAATTGATAAAAGTATTTGATCCATGATATGAACCAACATTTTTTAAGGATAGATAAAAAGTTTCAGCTCACTAACTCTTATGGTCATTAAATGGAGTCGGTTTAACTAAAAATCGAATTGACCTCTTTTAAAGGAAAAGGAAAATGTTATTTCTCAAAATAAGACCATTTTCTAGTTGCCCATTAAAAGTTACATAGTTGATATGAGTTTCATGGAAAAAGATGCTTCCATAATAGTACAAAACGCGATCGAACTTTAAACTTTGACCTTAATTTACTCTAAGACTAACCATCGTATGAGTTATTTAATAGGACTAATGGACTCAGTTCTTGTTTCCCTACAAACCCCACCAAGTCTCAACTCTTAACCCAAATGTTCGAGCTTTTAGCAGCACTCATTGCATTTCATTTGTAAGTTTAACCAGAAAATTGGTTTATTTAATCAGAAATGGGTTGCAATGAGTTTGTTTTGTTAAATAAGTTGTTGTTCGTGCATTTACAGCCAAAATATCATGACCCAAATGCGGTTTAGGAAAATTATTGAATTGAATTAAATTATTCATTAGTAAAGAACTAAATTGATGGAAGAATGATGACTGGAGCTGATGCCATTCTCGCAATATCCAAGCTCAAAGTTTTTAGGTAAATGGATGAATCAGTTGTTGATCGTACACTGACAGCCCAAACTTCACAACCCAAATGAGTTAAGGAAAAGTTGTTTATTGAATTTAATTATGCATTAGTAAAGAATTAAATTGGTGAAAGAATGATGATTGTAAGTACAACCATTATCGAAATATCGAGGCACAAGTTTAATAATAATTGTGTCTAATTAGTAACAACCGTCAGCAACAGTCAATATGATGTCCATTATTGTAAATAAAATTAACCTTAATCAATGCAATTGGTCACATTAGCGATCAGCAAAGTTTCTTTTGAATGTCTTACCTTTTGAATTCTCATCTCGTAGTAAATAATTTGAATGTGAACGACAAAATAAGAAAAGTATTACAGTCTGTTGAGGCAAAAGGTTTGACTACAGCAGCCACGAGAACATAAAACTCGAATCAATGTAATCCTTTGTGATAATAATTTTATATTTCAATGTATCAAATTTTCGTTTGCCTACGATTTCGTTGCTTAATTTTGATTGTGTTTTGACTGAAGTTGGTTGAAGTTTTTCATTAGTTTCATGTTCAATTATATTTCAGGAGACTGTTAGGTTTATTGTGAATAAAGGTATTGGATTACTAAGGATCTATTTTGTTTCTTGGTTCAGCAATCATCAATCAATTCGTTGATATTGATATTAAATTTCATTTACATTGAAATCTTTGATAACAATATTCAATGAGAATCAACGAAATTCGTGATTCATTCTTCAACATTTTCTCATTATCCAACTTGGAATTCAATAATTTCCTGTTTAAACTGATTATCATTCCCTTCTATTTTAGCAACAATTATTTCTATTATGTAAAGTTATGAATAATTTTGGGTTTGGATTATTTTTTTTTCATTTCAATTTATTTTGGCAACTCGTGAAATTAATTTGTTTGCAAGTTTAGACTCGATGGTGAGACATTTTGGAAACTTTCATTTTCAGTGGTTTTGGTGGTTCGGTGAGTACATGATATACCGTTAAGAATAATAGATGTGAAACATGATAATTATGTGCAATTTCAATATACAGACAACAAACCTAATGAATATTGAGAAACAAAAAACAGGATAACATTTGCGAAAAGAAAAAGATAAATCAAAGAGAAAAATGAAACAATTTAGCATTTCAGTTGCAATTATGGTTAACAAAATTGAATATAAAATTGCATTTCCCAAAAAATCAATCCATTTTTTATCCTACTTTCCTCACCCATCATCCATCATCAATCATCACTTATACCGCTTATTCGTGGTTTACAGCAATTCAATAAATATCAGATATTACGATATGAACAGTGAAAAAGATCAAACCAAAGAAAATGTTTTACCATTCAAGTTAATTGAAATTGACAATCATTATTTTTCATTTCTATTTCCGAACCAATTTTTTAAACAATTTACTTCCAATGGAAGCCTTCAAAAAGCCAGTCAGTGAAACATGACAATAAAGATTGAAGACAAAATCAAGAATAGAAACTGTTATTGAAAAATCACATCCAGTAAATACTCGTTTAATAACGACACTTTTGTCTTGGATTTTGGGTGCTTAAGAAGACTTGAGAACCCGAGTCATCCTGGGAAAGACAAACACCGAAATCACTAGAATTCGATCAAGAAAAAATTGCCTTAAGTGACTGTTTACTGTATTTAAATCCATAAGCGAGACATTTTAATCTTCTCTGAGTTTCACAAATCTTTAGTAATCTTTTAGCCTAAAAAACTTAATGTTGTAACTGAATATCTATGGATGGCCTCAGGATCGGAAGATTGACAATCATTGAATCACATTTGACGATAAATCAAATGAGAAAATTGTTCCAACTCTAGTTTTACGCTCGAAAATGTTTCAACTTTTTTTCTGATTTTCTGAGCAAAACCGATAATTCTGTAACTTTGATTTTTGTGCTTCCAAAAAGATCAAACAAAGAATCAATTGTATATTCATTGCTTCAAATTTGTTGAGTTCAATTAAAATGGTAACATAAAGGTCAGTTGGATGAGAAATTTGTGAATCTCTTTTGGTTAACCCTTTTCCTTGTATCCTGTGATTACACCATTGCGACCTTAACCTTGTTCAACTGATTATAATGAAAGTCAAACGTCAACTGTAAGTTGAAGGTAAAAAAATAAAGATCACAATGAAAGTCGAATCATCAATCTAAAGTGAAATCCTTTTCCCATCTCTAAACTTGGTAATCATTTATTTTCACTATTTTTTCCTTTTCATCAATTTTCTTCTTCATTATCATCCTTTATCTTCATTTCAACCATTCACCATTTCTCTCTATTCACATCAAAATAACATCATCAACATCATCTTCATCAATCTGATGGTTTATTAGCTTGGATTTTGTTTTTTCCTCTATTCTCATCTTTTTTTTTCTTGTAACTCCAAGCAATTCAATATCTTTTTTCTTGTCTATCCAAAAATAACAGGACACAAATGAAATCAATATCTAAAAGAAGATGAAAATTGTCAAAAAAGCGAAAAATTTTCCTCTTTTCTTCTTCTTCTCCAATCTGATTCTCTTATTTCCTTAACCAGTCAAACATACATATTGACCAAATACCTTGATAATGTTCAGCTTATTCTCACTGAATCAATTCAATATTTGGCCAAATCTTCAAGTTAAATCAATACATCAATGAAATGTGAAACATTTAAGCAACCTTTTCTTTCCATTAACTGGTCAACATTGATTTTGATGTTTGGACTTGTTTCACGCCAATTTGATTCTCAATCAGGTTTAGATTTAAATTTCAAACCGTGAATGGAATCATCATTATTCACAAATATTTAACTCATTACCTTTCAATTTCATCACTTGAAAGTGTTCACTTACAATGTTCAAGATTGTTGAGTAGAGAAAACTTTGTCTCTATTTCGTTTGTCAATCTCAATGTTGAGCCTTTTCTTGCCTGACTCGGCTTTCACTAACCTTTCAATAGATTTTTATCGATTTATCATGCTCCCTGCTCTATCATCTTCATCTTTCTTCCATGATGAAGGCAGAGACACACACACACATACATAAAGAAGTGTCAAGCAAAGTAAAGCACAAGGGAAAAGGGTTCGTTATTCACATTGTATCTTGCTAACAATCTGAGTTTCTCTCAATTCTTGTGTGTCAATCTTGATGACTTTTTTGCTTCTCTTTCCCTCTATTCCTCTCTGCCTCTGTCTCTCACGGTTTCATCCCAATTGTTTTTGTTTTCTGGCTCATAAATGGTTTATGATAAACGATAACATCACTAGTAACCAGAAAATGTCATATTACATTTGTTGACATTATTAGGGAAACAAACCAAATGAAAATGAATCATTTCATTCATTCAATCAACTCTGTTTCTCTTTATTCATTCTCATCCTTTTATTTTCCCTCATATTCCATTGTCTCTCACATTCCATGTCAAATATTACACATTACATGAGTTACCATCATTACTTTTGTATACACCTTATTCAACCATAAATGCTGTAAATGTTGCATTCAATTCTCTCAGATGACTTTTGGTGAAACGTAAGGGATAAAATAAGATTTCAAGTAAATCTGGATAATTCAAAATTTCATTTAAACAGCCTCGGTAGAGAGATCACAATATTTTGTTTGATTTATTAGGTTGGCCAAAAAGCATGAAAATTACATTTGAAAAAATGAAAGCAATTGAAGCTGTTTAGGATCATTACATTGATTAAATCATTTTGATTCAAGAATTAGATTTTTTTCAAATGTAATTTTCGCGCAAAGCTTTTTGACCTAATAAATAGCCTTGCGGGTATTATGCATGGGTTCAACAGATTTGCAGATTTCTTTTTGGGAAATAAATATATTCTCCTTTGTATTATCTTGACAATTGCTTTGATTAATTGTTGATCTTCATTTGCATCAGGATTTGAATACAAAACAATTCTTGGCTTGATTGGTCCATTAAATGAGCTTCTATTGAATAGTGACCGTTTTCAAGCCATTTTGGTATGTCAGAGAAGGGCAGAGTTGCATTTCCAACGACGACTTCAGGGAAATTGTATCGATTCGCTGGGAATGGACATGAACACGGAACACCGTATTGAGTATAAACATCAGGACAAGGTTTAGGGTAGGGCCATAGAGTACAAAAATCTGAATACTGGCAAGATCCGAAACCATGTTCACAGGGAATGTCAACCCATACTCCAAATACTTTCTTTTTCATCTTCAAGGTGAACTGGAATAAGAAAAATAAAATAAGAATGAAAGTAAATTCAATAATACTAATTGTAACAATCTATTAATCACATGGAAACTGTAGATGGAAAGATTTAAATAGTATAAATCAATCTTACTGACAAATCAATACTTGTTTGCATAAAAACTCAACTCACTACCTGATTCTAACTGCTTTTGAGTGTTTATACTTATTCCTTTTTTTCGAGACGTTTGTCAATGCATTAACTATCAATTGTAAATGATACAATGTTGGTGATTTTTCACGATATTCAGATTTTTTCGGTTGTCCGAGGGAAAAATCCAAAGTTTGTCAAACACATGATTAACTATTATTGATAGCAGCCTTTTCTTGCCATTTCAGTCCATGTAATTAATCATTGAAATTGTTGCTCGTTGGCTGTAAACTTACGGGAAGAGGTGAGGTTAAATTACTTTTAACGAGCACATCTAATCCTACAGAAAGTAAACCGGGAATCTTCATTGGATCAGGATCGATCTCAAGTCGACTAAACTTGATCACATCAGGTGTTCCACACTGAGTCCAGGCAAAATCTTTGAACAACAATCCGGTAATATTAACATTCTGGGATTGCCAATAAATTAGTACATGAATTGATACAATGTAAATAAAGGAAAAGAACAAGAGTTAATTTGATTGTTGGAAAAACTGAGAATTAATCAAGAGGTAAGAGTGATTAAGTAGGGAAACGTTAAAGGTTGAGACTAATTAAAAAAGGTTTTGTAATTAAAAAGGAGTAAACATACTTGTTCAATATAGTTGTTGACAAATTGACAGGAGACTTGATGAAATGAGAGGCCAATTATTATTATTGCTGTGATCTCTGTGAAAACAAAGTTTCTCATGGTGAATTGAGCTGAAACTTTGAATATTTATAACCAAATAATAATGAAAATAATAAACTCTACAAGAGTTAATATGATGATCTGTTGAGCCAAGTCAGTGTATTATTATGAACACTTATAGGAAAATGAGGAACAACAACAACAACAAACTGGTGAATTATTAACTGATAATGATTATGATGTTGACAAAGTGATGAGATGAGGAAAAAATGAGATCAAGTGTGTGACACTTAATCTTTCATTTTCCATCTTATCATCATCTAAAGAAAAATGATGAAAAGATAGAGAAATCTCTTGAGTATCGAACAGGCATATTAAAAAATAAATGTCTCCTGGAATTGTTCAAGAAACAAGGAGTGAAGATCAGGCCATAATTGTCATCACAAGCATTTAAATGGTAAAGGCTCCAGAAATCACCAGCTTTCGATTTTGCGTGAAAATTTTGACTCTATTCCTGTCCGAAAATAAGCCATCAAAGTTACACCCAATGCTGATTAGATTAACCTTTGTCCAATTTTTGGGTAACCTTGGACGATCTTGGCAACTCAGCTATCTAGTTACATCTTCATGATACCGATTCCAATCTCCATTGATTAGCTGGCCATGGATTGTCAAATGTAACTGATTACTCAAGAGTGAAGAGGCATTGATATTGGATAAATACTGCAACAGTACATGTGGTTACAAATGGTTAAAATCAAAAGATCTCAAGTGAGATATTTCACTTTGTGGTTGTCCTCAACAGGCTCCATTAGCATCACTCGTTTCGAATTAAATTTCCTAAAATACCATCATCAGCTGTGGTGGAAAAATTGACCAATCCAAGTTAATTTGAATAAGGCTGGAAAAACATTTGATCCCTTTGGTGACTTTGCTTCTACGATTTTACTCGATTCCTTGGCTCACTTCTTTTCATTTGGTGCCATTAATGTAATTGTTTTTGATTAACATTATCATTTTCTGGTTTAAGTGAACATTGAAAGTGAGATGTTATCATGTTTATGTTAACCTAATTGATTCCAGTTCAATGGGGTTTTAGGTTTGTTTGTTTGTTATCTTGTTTTGTGGTGATGGTTAACATTGATTTGCTGGTAACAGGTTAAATAATGGAGACCATACAGAAAATAAAGATGATGTTGATGAAGGCAGAAAGTGTGTAAGATTAGGTGTAAAAAGGAAACAAAGAAGTTATGATGATGTATTGAAAATCAATGAACAGGAATAAACCATAATGAGAATAAGAATCTTTTGAGTTAGCAAGGAAAAAACCATCCAATGAATATCTATTGGCTTTATGTAGCAATCCACTAACTTTGATTGATGGGGTTGATAAAAAATTATGATAATCACTGTAATCAGTCAAGAAATAAACTGTTTTATTAAAAAAATAGTAAAATTAACAGTAAAAAAACCGTCAAGCAATTTTAAATTATTGGATTAAAAATCGGCGCCGGCTTATTGAATGACCGCCATTTTTATCCACATGTAAATGTTAATCATGTGATTAGAGCAGCTGATTAATTATTGCTTTGGATTGTATTTAACGCTGATAAATAATATTTAATTGAATCAACATTTCCTTTTACCCGTAGAACTTTTCGAGTTCAGACTTTTCAAACAAATCAGATTAATCAAAGAAAGCAATGATCAATAAAATTGAATATTTTTTTGCCTTATTCAATAACTGTAATGATTGGATGATGAAAGTAATGTTAGGGTAATCTATAAACCCTGATTGCATTTCAACAAATAGATTTTTTCAACTTACAGTGAATTAACCAAAACTAGAAATATAACCAGAAAGTTCAATACACACATAGTTACTCCATCTGAATTCACTTGGAGATAGGAAATTCAGCTGAACCTGAAATAATACTAAATGTGATCATTTCAATGTCATTTAAAACCCATCACAGTAGCTATGAGTTTCCATATACAGTGGTTAACAATTCAATAAATTTACTAAATGCATCCACAATGTTCACAATCAAATGTATTTGATTTGATTTCATGTAAATATATATCACTTTTATCATCATCTTCATCTTTAAATTCAGACATTTCTAAATAATTATCATCATCACTATCAATTTCTTCGCTGATGTTGATTTCATCTATTGAAATCTCATCGAATTTCCATATTTCTGAAGATATTTCATCTTCAAATATTCATCTGAATATTTCACATCTAACAATTACTGATTGAGAATTAGATTACCATTTGATTTATTACACTCCATTCACTTTGAAAACATCCCTTAATAAAAAATTACCATCGCTAGAATGGTGTAATATAAGATGACCATTGGACCAGAATTGCATTTTTAATTTGTTAATTTTGCTGATTTTATCCATGATTTTTGAGTTAATCAAATGCCAGTAAATAGCTGAAAAGATTGGGTATACTTTACATAGAATTGCAATTGAATGGCTAAGACTGTGATAAAGTGAAATATGGAGTAAGAAAAGAAAAGAAATTAACAATTAGACAATTGGTTGAATCAAAAGTTGTCCATAAAAAATGCAAAAATTAAAAACACTTGACTTTGATCAAGTACTCATCGATATATCGAGGTTATTGATATATCGAAAGAGCTCTTGCTTTTATACTGATTGAACGGTCCCTGAATTCTGTAGAGGTCAATTTGTGAATTGCCTTAACATTATTGTTCAAATATTAATTTAGTTTCAATTATTATTACTTGATTGTGTTGTTTATTGTTTTATCAAGTGACAATGGTGAAGATTGTTGGTCCAATTGTGGATACACCACAAGTTACATGGAAAGGAAAAGTGTATAAAAAGATGATTTTTGGCTACAATAAATTTGGTTGGGTTGATTTCGATTGGGCTAGAGCAGCCAGAAGTAACTGGTATGTTCGTTATTTCGGCTTTTCTCTAGTATTTGCTGCCCTTCCTTTGCAAATTTACTTCCACAGATTAGTCAATTCACCTGAAAACAAAGCATATTGGGCAGCTAAACGAAAAGCTGATGCCGAAAAGGAACACAAACATGAATGGGACGTATGAGATATGGATATGACCCATCTTCAATAATATAATATGATTAAACCATTTAGTTTTAATTGAGTCAATAGATGTTTCCTTATTATAAATATGAGTTGAATATGGAAATTTCAAAATGGAAATCGTTTACCCAATAAAGTAAAAGATGAAGATGTATCCATTGACTCCAATATACGTCTATTAAATTCATTTCCACTCATTTGCATCATTTATCAACCTTTCAAATAAGTCTACTTCCAAAGTTAATATTAGTGCTATGATCGACTTTGCTTATACATAAAACCTTTAAGAAATGTCATCATTTTCTGATCAGGTTGAAAAATTGATGTGAGTTTTAAATTTTATCGTGACATTCGGTTTTACTAACGATATTGCTATTGAATGTTATCGTGACAATTTTTACAATTGGTTGGCGATAAAAGTTATGGTGACTAGATGATTTTGCGTTGAACAGACAGGTCTTATATCGTATGTGGAACGTCGATTTTCTTGATTTCTTGATATTGTCCCTTTAAATAAATTTATACTTCGCATATCACTGAATGGTGGTGAAGGCGACGGAGTTGGTGGAGTTGATCTCGGTGAATTTACATGACTAGACATTTTCGTTGAGAAACAAGAAATAAGTGATGATTTATGAGCATTCGATGTTCTTCCATTATTTGAATGATTCAGTTTTAAACATAAAGTTAAACGAGCATCATTCATAATATTCAGCAAGTCCCTTTGATCATTTGATTGACCATTTGAATCACATAAAGGTTCACGATCTTGATGAGTTGATTGATGAGACAATTGAGATAGTTGAGAATTAGAATGCAATTGAGATTGAGATTGTCGTGGAGGTAATGTATACTTGGATTGCGAACTGTAGTGTTCAAGAAGTAATCTATTTGATTCTTCATTCCACAAAGCTAGATTAAATGTTGTAATACTATTATGGTTGTTATAGTGGAGTGGTGGAGTTGATCTTGGTGAATTTACATGACTAGATATTATCGTTGAGAAACAAGCAATAAGTGGTGATTTAGCGTTCTACCATTAATTTCATTATTAGAAACATTCAGTTTTAACTACAAAGCTAAACCGGTAACATCTATTATGCCACTGATAAGATGTTGTTTTTGTTATTATTGTTAGCATTGATGCAGTGATATCAACGCCGTTAATCCTCTTGACTAGTTTCGCATTATATTCAAGAAATTTGCGAGGATCATAAGGAAATGTTAATAACAAGATCAGCTCGGTTAAACATTATAGCCCCGTTTTACGTAAAAACGCAGTGACTTTTCATCTCTGTGGATATTTGCGGATATATTGGATATTATAAGAAGAGGGGAAACTTGATGATTAACCCAAAAGAGAGACTCGTGTGGGGTTTATGGAGGTGTGATGAGAGGATGATGATGAAGGGAAGATGCAAAAAATGATGCGGGTGGGTAAGAAAGAAGATAAAGAGAGAGAGAAACAGGGTGGGTGGTTAAAGAGAGGGATAGAGCATTGAAACACCATAGGGGTTACCAATTGCTGTGAATATTTCCTTCAATCAACATGATTAGTTTCTTTGGATAGTATAAAATTGCGTCAATAGATGGCAGTACCTCCGTTTTAGGAAACCGAGCCGAAAAACTGTTCTAATGCAATGGCACGTCGAGAAAAATATGAATCTTTTCTATTAATTGAAATAGTTAAAATGATTCCCGTCATTCGTGCTTTATCATTTTCAATAATTTAAATGAGAAAAGCGCAATACAATACTATTCTGTCTGAAAAGTGACTAAATCTCAAGGTAACACTAAGATTATCGAAAAACCATTCATTATCAATGAATTTTTTAATTTTGCGCGAAGCGGATGAATTTTTAAATTGATTGAAAATTTATGCGAAATTCTAGTTAGCATTTTCTGTTGCAATTTTGCATCGACTACCGAATCAAAGATAATCTCAATGGTGTTAGTGTTTTAAAAACGATTTTGCATCATAAACATTTTATTTTATGTTATTTACAAATTAATTAACAAGCTCAGGTACATATTAACATGATCAATCTAACTAAATAAAATAGAGCTGATCACAGTTTACAGACATTGGGTGAAAATTTAATAAATTTATATTTCTTGGCATTTTTGGGATAGATCTGAAGATGAAGATTGAATAAGCGGATAACCAGTCGCATAACATTTGATTCCTCCCAATCGGATGCTATTGCTGTTAATAATCCATAATCAACTCGATTATCATTTCAATTGGCAATTAAGAGAATCCAATGGCATATGTTATCAAAAGTTGCTCTTTTGAATTTACATTGCAACTCGTTTTGGTTCGCTTTGTTTTCTTCGATTTTTCCTTATTGATGATTTCATAGGCACCATAGATGGTGATGCTGATCCATTTCTTGAGTATTTCCTTGAATTTCGCAGTCCATTATGATTAACCATATGATTTATCATTTGCTTTTGTGTTGAACTTCGTTTACCACAAATAACACAAGAATATGGATAAAGATTGTTTTGCTTGTTGATATATTGATGAAGAAGATAACGATGAGTATGAAGTGATTTGTAATTAGCAAATGAACATCCACAATATTCACAATCAAATGTATTTGATTTGATTTCATGTAAATAAATATCAATTTTATCATCATCTTCATCTTTAAATTGAGACATTTCTAAATAATTGTCATCTTCACTATCAACTTCTTCAATGATATCGGATTCATCTATTGAAATTTCATCAGACTGCCATGTTTCTGATGATATTTCTTCTTCAGAATATTTATCTGAATATTTTTTATCATTATTGGATGTTGCTTGAGAACTAGATGAATTAGGCCTTTCATTTGATTCCTCAGTGATAGGTAAAACACTAGAAACTGTATTAACTCGAACTGGATTCAAACGATTAAACCAATTAGTTTTCTTTGAGTTTTTAGAGGTTTCAGTATTAAAAATAAGAGTTGCATGTGGAAATGAGTCTCGCTCAGCTAATAACGTTGAAGACGAAGATGAACCCATTGATTCCAATAAGCGTCTATTGAATTCATTTTCACTCATTTTTATCATTTCATCGACTTTATCAATAATATTACATCCATTGTTAATGTTAGTGATGTGGCTGGCTTTGCTTTTGCTGCGGTTAAGAGACGTTATTGTCATTTGGTGATCAGGTTGAACATATTGATGTGCGTTTTCATTTTTATCGAGACATTTTGGTTTAACTAACGATGTTGCTATTGTTTGTGGAGGTGACGATGTTTTACAATTGATTGGTGATAAAAGTGATGTTGGCTTTCTATGATTTTGTGTTGCACAGACAGATCTCATATCGTATGTGGAACGTCGATTTTCTTGATTTCTTGGTATTGACCCTTTAAATATATTTATACCTCGTATATCGTTGAATGGTGGTGAAGGCGATGGAGTTGGTGGAGTTGATCTCGGTGAATTTACATGACTAGACATTTTCGTTGAGAAACAAGAAATAAGTGATGATTTATCAGCATTCGATGTTCTTCCATTAATTACATTATTTGAACCATTTAGTTTTAAACATAAAGTTAAACCAGCATCATTCATAATATTTAGCAAGTCCCTTTGATCATTTGATTGACCATTTGAATCACATAAAGGTTCACCATCTCGATGTGTTGATTGATGAGACAATTGAGGTAATTGAGAATTAGAATGCAATTGAGATTGAGATTGTCTTGGAGGTAATGTATACTTGGATTGCGAACTGTAGTTTTCAAGAAGTAATCTATTTGATTCTTCATTCCACAAAGCGAGATTAAACGTTGGTAAACTTTTTAAACCATTGGTTTGACTTTCTAAATTAGTAACTCCATTATGGTTGATTATAATGATTATTATTGCTGTTGTTGTTGTTGTTGTCACAAATCATGTTGTTATTGTTTAAAAGTGTACTATCGGAAGCGATATTGGAATTGTTTATACTATTATTGTTGGTATTTGGCGGTCCATTGGTTGTATGATTGCCATTTGATGCAGTATAATCAACGCCGTTAATCCTTTTGATTAGTTTCACATTATATTCAAGACCTTTGTGGATCCTAAGGAAGTGTTTCTTAACATGATCAGCTCGGTTAAACATTTTATTACATACATAACAACGAAATGGCTTTTCATCTCTGTGAATATTTTCATGTCTCCGATAAAGATCTCGTCTATCAGTTGAATATGAACATTGATCACAGGAATATCTTTTTTTCTGGTTATTAACTAATTTGGTATGATGGTTCATATTATCATTTCTTTGAGGTAGTTGTTGGTTATTCATATTAATAACATTATTATTATTGTAACAAATATTATTGTTGTTATTACGGTTATTGTTGTTGTTGATTAAATTCAGCTGATTGAATGTTGATTTATCATTTATACTTGAAGAATAGTTCTTAACTAATGATAAAACAGATGATGATGGTATCGATGATTTAAATGATTTGCTGTTCAAAACATTAACAAAATTTGTATCCATATTTTCACTTTTTACAAAACTAGTGGATATGGTTGTAGAATGGCTTTTATCGTTTCTTTTAGGAACAATTGAACGAAAAGAGTTCAAATTATCAGCACCTTTGCTAATTATTGATACCATTTCGTTGAAAATTGGATCATCAAAACAGTTATTTGATATTAAAACAACAGTCGATCCAAAAAAGGTGAGAACAGGTTTATTAAAGGTTTAATCCAGACAAGCTTCCCTTTTCCTCGTTGTTTTCAGATAAAAACAAAACACTAATAAAACAAAAGTGCACAGTACCAATAAGCAAACGAGAGAGCCAGATTTTTAGAACTAAAAGGAAACTGAAATCAAAGGTAAGGCAAAACATGGATATTAGTTAAACTGGTTGTATTTAAATGTAAATTAACACTGAAATAGACTTGAAAAGAGGCTAAAAACTTACCTTTAAAATAAGATGGTTAAATGTTCCATATGACTGTATTTTCAAAGTGAAAAGTTTGGGTTAAACATTGTTCAACCAGAAAACAAAGTTGTTGTTAGACACAAGCAAACAGCACATAGTTCAATCAACAAAGTTGACAATGGTTAAGATTATTGAGGGAAAATATAAATATACCAGAAAAAAGAGTGAGAAAGAGGGAGATCTTGTGAGCGAAAAATGAGTAAAAGGTTGAATCGAAAGAGAGAATCTTCAAGTTTTCAAAGAATCAAGAAAAATGTAATCAAAACTGAAGACAGTCAGAATGGAACCAAATGATACTGATGATAATTAACAAAGACACAAAATAACTGTTGGTAATCGGTAGTTTGTTGAAATAATGATATAATCAAGGTTCACAAGCAAAGAGTTGCAACAAAAATTTGATAACGTTAAGAAGAATCGCAAGTTGCTTTGGCCAACAACAACAAACAAGAAAATATCCTTTAGGAAAATATTTTTCGTTAAAGAGAGAGAAAAACTCACTGGAGAAAGAGGGAGAAGAAGATAGGTGAGAAGATAGGGAAAAGAAGAGGGAAGAAACAAGGAAAGGAAAAAGTGTAAAGGAGAGGAAAGGGAAAGAAGACTTCTGTCTATGTTGCATTGAAAGCTAAATAGACAGGGAAATGAAAAGTGGGAGAGGTTGTTAGAGAAGGAAGATAAAGATAGATAGTGAGAGACAAGTGAGTGGGGGATAAGAGATAGAGAAAGATGATTAAAGAGTGAAAATAAAGGAAAAAGAAGAGAGCAAAAAAAGCGAAAAATGAAAGGCAGTCAGAATCTTCTTCTAGTTTTTCACTTTTCTCGCTGTACTTAAGATTGAGGGAAGAAGGAGGAAGATGAGGATAAATATGAAGGGTGGTTTACAGTAAAAGAAGAAGGGAAAAGAAAGAGAAACTTATCTTTGGTCTCTATCTACTGATGAATACTGATCATGTTGAAGGAAACATTCACAGCAATTGGTAACCCCTATGGTGTTTCAATGCTCTATCCCTCTCTTTAACCACCCACCCTGTTTCTCTCTCTCTTTATCTTCTTTCTTACCCACCCGCATCATTTTTTGCATCTTCCCTTCATCATCATCCTCTCATCACACCTCCATAAACCCCACACGAGTCTCTCTTTTGGGTTAATCATCAAGTTTCCCCTCTTCTTTATAATCTTCCATCATTCACCCTCTTCCTCCTCTTCTTCTCCACCCACCTCACTTGAGCTCAGGGTAAAAAAACCCACTATGTGAGTGTTTTGATAAGTTAGTGATGATGACTAGAATGATGATGATTCTGGTAACAAGGACGATGATGTGAAAAGGGAGAAAAAAAAGTATATTTTTATCTTGAAACTTTATCGTCTATTTCATTTGTAATTGAATGTAAAAAGCTAACCAAGTTTTTCAACTACGAAACTCTTTAAGGCCTTCAACAATTGAACAAAAAACTTGAACAGCCAAGTCAGTTGATCGTAAGTATTCTTGATGTTCATCCATATGCGAATGTTCATGTTTTTCCTGTAACTCGTTTTTCTGAATCACTTTGATGACTGAAAAGAGGTGTGTAGGTGCCTAGACCCATCATCATCATAATCATTCTGATCGTCCATTTAATCAATGTGGGTGTTGGTTGTTTTCAGTTGAAACTCAGTTTTTTTTTCTTCTTCTCCCCATTTGTGCACTTTCCACCCCAGAAGAGGCTGATAATGACGAGAGGAAAGATGAGAAGTGAAAGAAAGGAAAGAGACACACACAAAAAAAAAGGTTACGAAAAAGGAAAAAGAAGAATATGAAGAAAATGATGAAAAAGGAAGAGACAAAATTAACCCCTATCATGAGTAGATGATGAGAAGGAGGAAGATAAGGTTTACTACCAACACCACCATGAAGATGATCTTCATGTAATACTTTCAACATTATTCTCATGGTGCTGTTAACATTTCATCTTTGCTGTTGAAACTGAAAACTCGTTCTCCTCTTTTTTTCCCTCTTCTCTTTGCCTGTGTAAAAATGATGAAAACTTATTCACATCATGATGATCACCATTTCAACCCACACACTCCCCTTGCCTTTTTCCCTCTTTCTTCCCTCCTCCTTTCTGCTGAACAGTTTTCCATGTCTTCTCCATGTAACTTGTAACTCTCAAAGTTTCCTCTTTGTCATCTTTTCCCTTTTTCGTTCGCCATCCATTCAATTACTTCTGTACATTGAAGGTTTGTTGTGCCTTACATTTTCACTCTCACCAACAGTTATCATTATCATTGTAATATACATGGTAATATAATGATTGGGTTTAATGAAAACACTTTTCCTCTCTTTTCCTTTTCTCTCTCTCTCTTTACCGTCTGAATAACAGTTTTCAGGTTTACATTCGTTGGTGTTGTTGGTTTTGGGTTTTTGTTTGCTGTTCAATGTTGATGTGACTATTGTGCACATTTTTGTTTCATGGATTAGTTAAAAGGGTGGAGTGGGTGGGTTGGTCTGGTCAAGGTTTTTGATCTTCATTTTCAAGAGTTTGGTGATGATAATGATGAGAGAAGGAGAAGCAAAAAAGGGCGGAAGATTGAAGATAAAATTGGCGAGAAAGGAAAAGATGGAAATAGAGAGAAGAAGAAAAAAAAGTGGGAGACTTTTTGACTGCAAGGGAATGGTAAAAGATGAGATGATGCTACAAGAAGAAGGAGGAAGATGATGATGATGATAATGCTGAAGGATGTTGCGAGTCAAGGGAAAACGAGATGAGAAGAAGAAAAGGAAAAGAAATGATAAAGTCTGTTGAGGCTTAAGAAAGAGCATGAAAGAGGGAGGTTAAGGGGGTGGCTACCAAAGATTGCTTTTTCCTCTTCTTCCTTTTACGGATTGGAAAGATTCTGAGGAAGACGAAGATGATAAGGATGTTACAGAGGAAAAGCCTGAGGAATAGTTTCCTCGAGGATCGATCATTGTGGGAGGGATAATGGGGGAGAGAGGAAAGGATATAAATATATATTTGGGTGAGAGTTGGAATAACATTGAGAAGGGAAAAAAGGTTGAGAATAATGATGAGAGTAAAAGATGAGAGATGATGAGAAGGATCAACTGTATTAGATAGTTTCTTGTTTGTATGTCTTTCGTATGTGCTGAGTATGACATGGAAGAGGATGAAAAGATGATGATCAACTTGGATGATGCAAGTAGGAGGTGGGTGGGTGGATGATCAAAGTGATTGGTAAAAGGAAGGGAAAGAGAGGAAAATTGAGTTTCTCGGTCTGCAAATGATTATGTGTAAAGAGGATGTTAAGAGAGGAGGAAGACGAGTAAATATGATTTTGTTTTGACTTGAAAAGAGATGGATACAGATTTTCATCACCATTATCATGAGAATGATTAGGTTGAAGGAGAGAGCAAATTTCTTGGTCACTTCTAGATGATTGTGTGGTGAAAATTAGAGATGGATTTGCTTTTGGTTATTGCAAGGCAAAATATTAATGAAAAAGGTTGTATTCATTGGACGATTCCTGGGAAATGCTTTACAGGTCGTTCAAAGGTTCAATAATTTGCTTTTTATAACTGCTTTTTTTTGGGTTTAAAACTGGTTTAAAAGGCTGGTTTAGTTGGACTCTTGATTTGATATTTTAAATTCAACAAAAATCCAACTTCCACAATTAGCTAATTTCATCCTTCTCAATGCATTTGGTTTGTCGTTGGAAATGTTGCTTTACAAATTGGTAAATTGGCAATTTTCACAGCTTTGGTTGTAATTGGTGTTGAATTGAAACAATTGCAACAGTTTAGATTGTTTAACCAGATAAATGATAATTTTAATTTGGAGATTTGTGGATGGCGATTTAATAACTGAATCTTTCTCTATTTCATCGACAATAAATCTTGTCCCTAGTTAACCATGAATGCAATTTTTGAGAATCTCATTTGTAACCCAATTTCATCAAGTTTCATGGTTATGATAATTTCATTGCAAACTGTAAATATTTTTGGAGCAATTTGATTTATTGAAGTTGTCTGTTAGCCCACTCAGTGGTGAAAGACGTGGAGGACCTTGCAGTGTTAGGCGGAGTGCAATCTCAAGTGTTTTTCAGAAACACATTGAATTTGTGAAATATAATTGGAAAATATTAGTCATTACATGAACATTTCCGCTTCAAAAAATTGGTTATAATCATTTGATAACTAAACAAATGACGATGGTCTTGTGTAACAAAAACGATTTTGCATCAAAAACGTTGAATTTTATGTAATTTACAAATTAATAAACAAGCTCAGATACATAACATAATCAAGCTAACTAAATAAATTAGAGCTGATCACAGTTTACAATCATTGGGTAAAAATTTAATAAATTTATATTTCTTGGCATTTTTGGGGTAGATCTGAAAATGAATATTGAATAAGCGGATAACCAATCGCATAACATTTGATTACTCCCAATCGGATGCTATTGCTGTTGATAACCAATAATCAACTAGATTATCATTTCAATTGGCAATTTAGAGAATCCAATGGCATATGTTATCAAGAGTTGCTCTGTTTTTACATTGCAACTCGTTTTGGTTCGCTTTGTTTTCTTCGATTTTTCCTTATTGACGATTTCATAGCCACCATAGATGGTGATGCTGATCCATTTCTTGAGTATTTCCTTGAATTTCTCAGTCCATTATGATTAACCATATGATTTATCATCTGCTTTTGTGTTGAACTTCGTTTACCACAAATAACACAAGAATATGGATAAAGATTATTTTGCTTGTTGATATATTGATGAAGTAGATAACGATGAGTATGAAGTGATTTGTAATTAGCAAATGAACATCCACAATATTCACAATCAAATGTATTTGATTTGATTTCATGCAAATAAATATCACTTTTATCATCATCTTCATCTTTAAATTGAGACATTTCTAAATAATTGTCTTCTTCACTATCAACTTCTTCAATGATATCGGATTCATCTATTGAAATTTTATCAGATTGCCATGTTTCTGATGATATTTCTTCTTCAGAATATTTTTCTGAATGTTTATCTGGAAATTTATGTGAATATTTCATATTGATATTAATCTTTGATTGTGAATTAGATTCATCATCCAAATCATTATTGCTAGTTGAAACACTAGACACTGTATTAACACGAACTGGATTCAAACGGTTAAACCAACTAGTTTTCTTTGAGTTATTAGATGGTTCAGTATTAAAAATTAGAGTCGCATGTGGAAACGAGTCTCGTTCAGATAATAAAGTAGAGGACGAAGATGGACCCATTGATTCCAATAGGCGTCTATTGAATTCATTTTCACTCATTTTTATCATTTCATCGACTTTATCAATAATATTACATCCATTGTTATTGTTAGTGATGTGGCTGGCTTTGCTTTTGCTGCCTTTGAGAGACGTTATTGTCATTTGGTGATCAGGTTGAACATATTGATGTGAGTTTTCATTTTTATCTGGACATTTTGGTTTAACTAACGATGTTGCTATTGTTTGTGGAGGTATTTTGCAATTGATTGGTGATAAAAGTGATGTTGGCTTTCGATGATTTTGTGTTGCACAGACAGATCTCATATCGTATGGGGAACGTCGATTTTCTTGATTTCTTGGTATTGACCCTTTAAATATATTTATACCTCGTATATCAGTGCAGGGTGGTGAAGGCGATGGAGTTGGTGGAGTTGATCTTGGTGAATTTACATGACTAGACATTTTCGTTGAGAAGCATGAAATAAGGGGCGATTTATCAGCATTCGATGTTCTTCCATTAACTCCATTATTTGAACCATTCAGCTTTAAACATAAAGTTAAACCAGCATCATTAATAATATTTAGCAAGTCCCTTTGATCGTTTGATTGACCATTTGAATCACATAAATGTTCACGATCTTGATGTGTTGATTGATGAGACAATTGAGATAATTGAGAATTAGAATGCAATTGAGATTGAGATTGTCGTGGAGGTAATGTATACTTGGATTGCGAACTGTAGTTTTCAAGAAGTAATCTATTTGATTCTTCATTCCACAAAGCGAGATTAAACGTTGGTAAACTTTTTAAACCATTGGTTTGACTTTCTAAATTAGTAATACTATTATGGTTGTTATTGTTGGTGTCACAAATGATTTTGTTATTGTTTAAAAGTGTACTTTCGGAAGCGATGCTATTGTTGGTATTTGGCGATCCATTGGTGGTATGATTGACATTTGATGCAGTATAATCAACGCCGTTAATCCTTTTGATTAGTTTCACATTATATTCAAGACCTTTGTGGATCCTAAGGAAATGTTTCTTAACATGATCAGCTCGGTTAAACATTTTATTACACACATAACAACGAAATGGCTTTTCATCTCTGTGAATATTTTCATGTCTCCGATAAAGATCTCGTCTATCAGTTGAATATGAACATTGATCACAGGAATATCTTTTTTTCTGGTTATTAACTAATTTGGTATGATGGTTTATATTATCATTTCTTTGAGGTAGTTGTTGGTTATTCATATTAATAACATTATTATTATTATTATTATTATTATAACAAATATTATTGTTGTTATTACGGTTGTTGTTGTTGTTGATTAAATTCAGCTGATTGAACGTTGATTTATCATTTATACTTGAAGAATAGTTCTTAACTAATGATAAAACAGATGATGATGGTATCGATGATTTAAATGATTTGTTGTTCAAAACATTAACAAAATTTGTATCCATATTTTCACTCTTAACATAGTTTTGATTTTGAAAAAACTGGTGGTTGTAGGTTAGGTTATACATGTTGAAAGTTGATCACAGGACAAAAAAGAACGTTAATATCAGAAGAAACTTTGAGTAATCCAAATCCGTCATTTGTCTTGGTTCAACAACAAGACTTAACTAAAAAAATATTTTTGCAAAAAGAGTGAGAAGATTGAAGCTGATAAGGAAAGGAAAGAGAAAAATTAGTGAGATCGCTGTCTAAATTAATAGACAGGGAAAAGCAAGAGTGGGAGAGGTTGAGTGAGACTAAACAAAAAAGGGGAGGAAGATAAAGATAGATAGTGAGTAAGGGGAAAAGAAAGACAAGAAATGATGAGCTGTATCAAGTGGGTTTTGTTGCCACTTTTTACTAGCTTTTTTGATTAAGTTTTTAATAATAATTAACTTATGTTGAATTTGTTGATTTATTTACATTTAAATACTCTGTGGATTCAAAGGAGTCACCAATGAGTTGAAATTTCAATCCAAGTCTGTGTTTTACTACTAAAATTAGGTAAGTACCAAGAACGTGTGCTTTTTTATGGGCTTACTGTAGGTGAACCCTCAGAAATTGCTAATGCAATGGAGATACAAGGAAATGGTCTTTGGCCATGGATAAATGATTGAAATTAAATGAATTAAATTAACTAATCACTGAAAAGTGATCTTAAGATCCTACTCGATGGTCGTCTCCAAACTAGAAGCAGTCTCATCCTGGTTAAATTTGGTGGATCCATAATGTTTACCTTGGTTTTGGTTGGACCTGGACCCACCATTGGAAACCACTTGGATAGACGACACACTGAGATAAGACTCATACACTAGGATAACTAAAAGGACCTGGATATGAACAAATTTGATAACTTCTCTTCATAATATTTTTATTGTAAGTTTTGCAAGCTTTGCCCAGCTTAGTATGGCTATTAGGGGTTGTTACTCATAAGCCACTCATACATATGGCTATTTTCAGGCAAACGCCTAAATTAAGTGCATTAAATACTGTAGCTTGTACATTCGCTTCATCATGCTTTAACTTTGTCTGTTTTCGTTGGTTTCTGTTGCTCACATCACACAGTAAAAAAATTAGGAGGATTGGGTTGGGAGGGATGAGGTGGGTGGATGATGAAAATGATTGAGCTTTGGACGGGAAATGGTCATGTAAAAAAAGAGGAGGAAGACGAAGGCGAAGGCGAAAGGAAAAGTTAACGAAAAAAGAGAAACAAGTAAACACAATGTTTGGGTTAAAAGAGATGGAATACAGATTTTAGATGAAGGTTAGAAATGATGGGAAAGGAAAGTAATTTTACCAAGCAATTCTAGGCAAGTAAAGAAGATGATAATGATGATAAAAGTTGAGAAGAAGGTAGAAGATCAAGAAGAAGAAGGAGTGGGAGGTGAAAAGATGGGTGGAAAAAGAAAAGCAAATGATGATCTACTGGAGGGGAGAAGAAAGAAATGGTTATAAATACTGAGGGAAAAGTAGAGGAAGGAAAAAAGGAGAAGGAAAAAAACTAACATAGAAATGAACGATGATGAAGGAAAGTGGGAATAACTTACAGCAAAGAAACGGGTTGTTTAAGATGATGATGATGATAGAAGGAAAAAGAGAAAATGAGATAAAATTTTCTTGGGTGGAAGATGTCTTAGAATTGTCTTGGAAGATAAGGTTTTATGCCTTCTTCTTGATCATCTTTCACTTTACTTTCCTCCTTCGTCTTATTTTTCATCTTCTCTACATTTTATCCTTTTCATCATTCTTCTTCTTCTACTTTTTGTCCCTTCGTCCCTTGTCACCACTTTCATCCTTCATCTTTCACCCAAGACAATCTCTTTTCATCTCTTGAACCTCATCATCATCTGAATATCAACCCACTTTCTTCCTTCATCATCGTTCATTTCTATGTTAGTTTCTTCTCCTTTTTTCCTTCCTTCATTTATTTTCTGCTTATTTATAACCACATTTTTCCTCCTTTTTCATCTTCTTCTTCCTTCCACCCATTTCTTGCCTCCCACTCCTATTTGTTTATCATGAGTTGTCTTTATCTTTCATCCTTTATCCTGTTTCGCGATTCTTTATCTGCTAATTTTCCATTTATTTTGCCATGAATTTTCCATGAATCTCTCATCAACTTGGGTTAACAATTTCGCCAAAAAACATCAACTCACAAATTGTCAGCCAAATTAGAGACTAATGTAGCTGCATTGAAAACCAGGGCGTTCACTGGTACCATTAGAGTCACAATTGAATGTATTTGATCATCCAATTTGCCTCCTTCCGATCAACTTGCTCATTGTTAATTAAACATAAGTTATTAAAAGACAAATGAAGATTTCATTCGTTCAGCTCTTACAAATGATTGTATTGATTGAATTTCCGAGCCATCCTAACTAAATCAAGTTCAATATTCTTAAAATGTCTTTCTAATTATCTCCCAATTAAATTTGTAATCAGTATCAAAACAAATGTGGGAAGCTGATAATACAATTAATTTCAGTACCAATTTGAAAAACTTGAGTGTAAATTATTTGTATATTAATTAATTTCACCTTGTTACAGGAATAAGGATACCGCTAATCCCAACGGATTCACTCGAACATATGAAGAATGAATCCGGACACCGTACTCGTAGTGCAGTGCCATAAAAATACGGTTTCCGCTACCGTTTACAAAAATGAAATATTACAAAAATTTTTAGGATTTAAATTGAATTGAATTGAACAATGAAAGGGTGAAAAATGAAAAGAAAAAAATGGTAAAATTTAAATTATGCGGAAGAGTAAATAAATGAAAAAAAGGTGATGAGACGTCTTTATGAGTGTGGTATTATATCAGGTTGGTGAAAAATTTAAATCAAAATTTAGCTGCGTTTGAGTCCAATTGAATTCTTGATTGGTATGATTTTCCTGTTTAATGAGATTGTCTTGTTGATGTCCAGGTCTTGATGATGTTGTGTGTTATTCGCTCAGGTAAATTAGGAAAAAAAATCAGAGAGTTAGTTATGGCTAATTTGATTGAATTCAATTCAATTTAATTCTGGTCTCTGTGAGTTTTTTTTTTCGTAAAAAGAAAAAACAATTAATAATTGAAAAAAGAAAAAAATTGTTTTTGCTTTTTTGTCTATTTTTTTCGTTTTGTTTTTTTTTTAATTTGGTTGTTTTTTCGTTCTACATTTCTTTAAAAGAAATGTGATTTTTTATTCTATTTTAGAGTATAGAAAGAATCAGACTTACCTTGATTGTTTTGACACAAATAAACGAAAATCACTACCATCCGATGAACTCACAAGGTGCACGGAGTATCCAGAAGTGATCTAAAATATAAATAGAAACAAAAAAAATAAATTAAAACTTAATTTAATTCAATTAATTTAAGACGGTGTAGAGAACGGTATCATGTATTTATTTACTGCAGGCAGCACCATCTATGGGATGCGAATTAAAACTTAACCTGGCAACCTTTTGGTTGATTTTAGCTAACAAGATAATGCAATTAAAGTGAACCAGAATGAAATAATTTTTGTTTTATTTGAAATTTAAACGCTATTGAAATACAGATTCGGTCTAGTTATCAGCTCAGTAACATGTTCATCAAACATTTTTTATCATCAATTATGAGTTCTCAAAGTTACAATTTACTCAATCCTGAGATTAAATAGGTATTAAATCGGATAATTTAGGTATCTCGACTGGTTAAGCGGCTAGTAAAACAATTATTTCACTCGATTCAAGCAAAACATCTTTTTCTTGAAAATTGATCATTGAATTCTAAGGGTAACTCTAACATTTGTCTGAATTTTACTCGAATTGCGAAATAAATAGATCAATATTAGGATAATTTATAAAAAAATGGATTAAATATGAAAATAATAATAACGATATAATTGAATATGAATTGAATATTGAAACGGAGTCCCATTAGACTCAAGCAAACAAGCAAACTCGTTATTTTACATATTGACGAAACACTGAGAGATACATTAAACAAGCAAATTGATAACAATAAATGATTCCTTTGATGAGGTTACAGATCAAACAATGTCAACAGATCCAACAACAATTATTCGTTTATTGATCAGTGAATTTAAATGAAATAGACTATTATGGTTAGATATATGGTTTTCAAAAATTTTTATGATTTGTGATTCATGCATTTGTGCTTTGCTGTTTAAAATTTTCATCAATGATTTGAAAAAATGTGAAATTGAACTTTTCTCAATAACACTTTTATCTTTGCATCAAAACTCTATTTCAAGTCATCTAATGGCTAATTATCCTTCCTCTAGTCCTATCGAGTCGAGTAAAGGTAACAACAATGATTCGACAATTAGAAAATTGCTGTTTTATCTTTTAGGTTTGCCCAGACCGGGTGACTTAGAAGGGTCTACAATTGAATGTATCAACCAATATGAAAAGACTTCATCTGTTTTTCACGTCATTCGATATGGAATCAAGCAGAAACAAGGTGAATATCGCTTCGCCAGTTCAACTCATTTCAAGATTCGATCATTTTTCATTCATACATTCTCAATGATCGGCTTTTTTCGCCTTCTTACACTCATGTTGGTCACCGATGAATCTGTTCACATTTACTTGGGCGACGGTCTTTACAGTTCAAAACAAGCTTCAATCATTTACTTTCTCTGTATCATAACACTCGGCTCTCTCTACGGTTTTGGTGAAATTACACTTTACCAGGAAAGTTCAGGCTATTGGAAGCCGATGCGAGTTCTCGATCAACTTCGTTCACCCAATTTAAACCCTTCATCTATTGGCTTAACACGTTCGTATTTGACTAAAGCGTGCAGTTTAATTCACCTTGTTGCCAAACATGGAGTTCGAATCATGAATTGTGCACCACTCTACATGATCTTCATCATTGAAGCTCCTATAGTTGCTGAATTGTCTCTCAAAGAGAATCCAATGTTTAACTTCTACTGCCTTCTCTGGTCCTTCTTTCTAGCCTGTCCTTTCATCTATCACATGGCAGGTAATTTTGGTCGAGCTGGTTATTTAATCATGTATGGGATTTGCTCTATTTTACGTCTTCGATCACTTGAGACCTTGGTTAAACATTCATCATGTCAATTGACCCTCATTGAACGAGACATCAATTCCCTGGTTTCAGCTATTATAAGCTTTTGCAATGAGATGGAACAAGTTTTCAGAAGCATTCGCTTCGGTATATTTTATGCTGTGTTTGTTATCGCCTTTATGGCTGATGTTCAACTCTTTTTTGGAGTAATCATTCCATTGGAACCTGCTTTAGTTGCTCATTTACTTGCTGTTAATGCCGCTGTTATCCTGTTTGCACTAGGATTAACAGTCTACTTTTGTGGTGTTTACTTGAATACGGTAAATCATGTTTCAAGTTGTACTTAACAATAACTTTAGAGGTTCAGATGGTGTAAAGAAAGAAGATAATTTATTCGACTTTTAGTCCGCATGAAATTTCCTTAAAAAATATTGACTTTCAGAGTTTCTGAGACTTTCTGATGACGCAAACCAAATTGCTTGTCTAGCCATAAAGAACGATCTTGAAATTTAAAATCTGATCCATTAAACGTCTATTGAATGCTTTTATAACCAATCTATATTTTTGTTTTAGCTTCAATCAACTGTTGTTCAATTTCATCGGATTTGCACCGCTCAAAATATATCTGTATTGACAAAACTCAAGGTAACTTGAAAACATTATCAATCCCAGGTGAGTTAACCTATTTTCTTTACCAGATTAATGAGCTTATGGATCGAATGGCCGGGCCTTATAATGGTATCGAAGCAGGATGGTTTGGTACCTTAACAACCAAATTTTTTGTAATCGTAAGTGACATTAGATTTTTTATTTCCAATAATTTACTGATTTTGCTTTTTATTCAAGTTTCTAGTTGAAAATGCGTCAACAATGATGCTGTTTGCTGTTAATGTTGTTGGATATTTGATAAAATAATTCAAATGAAAGGGCGAAAAATATTGGCATGGAAATTTATTCCAGTTCAACTCAAACAATTAACCAAAATATGAATAAATATTGAATGTATAATGAATTGATAAACAAAAATTTCAAAGAAAGCAAAGCCAAAATCTGACATTTCAAACAAGCTCATTAAACAGTCTCATTAAGCAAAGAGTAAATCAGAGAATCCTAAATTTGATTCAATTGTTGACCAAAGACTGTTTAAAACACACAAAATGTACTCGATTGTTGATTTACATTAAAAAATAACAACAAACTCTTAATAAACGTATTCATCAAACTCTTGAAAATATTAGCAACAAATTAAACCCATTTTAACCCATTTAAATCCATTAACCAAACAAACCCAAACCAATGAGCCCAGAGTTTCCATCGACTAAAAGCATCACCGATTTGGATGATTATTCAATTCTCATGATATTATCGTATATAAAAAATATTCGTGAAAAAATTCGACTTAAAAGAGGTGAGAATTTAAAGATTAGAAAAAAAGAGAAACAAATTAATGTTAATTTTGATTAAATTTAAATTTTCCTTTTCAGTTTGCCTTCGATTTTACCGATTATCAAGCGAATCCCTTAGACTTGACCATCAATCGATCAGTGACCGTAAAGATATTTACTATTCAAGTGAGATAAGGCCATTTACTCGAACCGAGAAACGAGTTCGTCTTCCCTTTGACAAAATATTGTCCAATTGTCCAAAATTGAAAGAGTTCAATTCAACTGCTTGTGATAGAGTTTGTTACAATGTAAACAGATTACCTTGTCAACTGATTTACTTGGAAAGATTGACTCTTCATGGTTGGTCCAATGTTAAAATGTCCTCATCGATTGTCCGTAGATGTGTTAACCTAAAATATCTTGATTTGGGTTGCATTAAAATGGGTCGTGCCTATGAGTTTTTCACAACCGATCTTCACATGATCAAATCTAATCAATTGACTACCTTAAAGTTGCATGGAGTTCACTATTCATTAAACAATTTACAAACCTTCATGTCTACCTATGGATCTAAATTGCAAATTTTTCAATACTCATCAAGCTTGATTACGGCAACCTCATCGACAAACCTTCCCAATGGTTTAATGATAACACCTTTTGATTCTAATTTTTTTTCAACTCTCATTCAAATTGTTTTCAATTTTTGTCCCAATTTAAATCAATTTAAACTTGTACTGGTCGATCATGATGGCTTTGGATACCCAATGTCTATACCCAATCTGGTTCCACTTGAACATTTATCTTCACTGTTTATTGAATCCGAGCAAAGAGGCTTTAGTATTGACCTTTTGGAAATTATTTTACAGAATTGTCCTTCTCTTGAATTTCTTTGTATTGTTGCCCGTTTCCTTTCGGATGTTAGAGTGGTCAGTTTGTGTAAGAAATATTGCCCTTTGATTAAAAAGGTTAATCAGCGGCCAGTCGAATGAGGTTGAAATTATTGTAAAGACTGGAAATCGAGATTGAAATTTGAAAATTTTGCTTCTATTGCCATCAATAATGGTATTTTATATTGAGCCAATGGATTATAATTTTCACTAATCATGATTCTACTGTTAGCTTTATTTATTTGAATATTTTAAATTCATCAGTTGATTGTATTTACTGGTGTAGCCATTAGCTTTTGTTTTCATTTTTGAGCTGTATTTGTATTTTTGTTTTATGAAATTAAATGATTGAATCTGAAGATGTTAGCAAGTCTAAAATGTTGTGATAATTTATTCAGATGATGTAAAATTAATCAAATATTTGAAGGTTATCATAAAAAGATTGCATTTGTGATTGTAAAATAGCCAATAAAAATATGGCTGAGCTTATAAAGAGAGTTGCCTTTCTTAGTTTGGCGGTTAAACTGGTGTTATTCATCGAGTTAAACTTGTTATTATCACCACAACTCTACTTTGTCTGTCTGCCTTTTCAATCCGGCTCTCTCTTTCCCTCTGTTTTTCTCTCTTCTTCTGAAACAGTCTATTGTATTTAATTATATTAAAATTATTAACTGAACTTATATATTGGTGACACAAATCTATACTTATTTTATTTTTTGGTAATCGGTGTAATTAAATTGTAAAATCATGGCTGAAAATGGAGAACAAGAAGCTCTTAACCAAATGATCCAAGGTAAAAGACACCTTCTCATAAAGGATTACTATTCAGCTGCCCAAAGCTTTGAAAAGGTTTGCCAATTATTGGATACCAAGTATGGTAAATGTTCTGATCAGTGTGGTGATGCTTACCTTAATTATGGAATTGCGTTACTTGAATTGGCAAGACAAGAAACTGGAGCCAATGAAGGCCTTGTCAACGCTAAAAGTAAGTTACTCTGTTGCTCATATTCATTTAAATATTTCCCACTGTATGATGATTCAATTATTGTAATACATTATAATCCTGATCTCATTTTTTTTCTTCAGTAAATGACCCTTCTGGTTCAGAAGATGAAGATGAAGAGGAAGGTGATGGTGATGGTGAAGAAGAAGGAGACGAAGAAGGGAATGAAGAAGATGAAGAAGCAAATGAAGGAAAAACCGATGATGAAGGTAAAAAAACTGACGTTGAAGAAGACTTGGCTGTTTCAGACCAAGAACAGACCAAAGAAGATGAAAAGACTTCTGAAGATCAGGTTAAAAAGACCGAACCTTCAGAATCTAACAACGTAACCGTAAATGGTAAAGATCCAGAGGCTGTCATTACGAAAGAAGCTGGTGATGAAAATGGTGAGAGTACTGAAATTAAAAAAGATCCAATAAATGAACCATGTGGCTCTTCTGCTGGCCCTCCTGATGATTTAAATGAACCTAGTACATCAACTGGTATTAAAAGATCTGATGACGACGATGATGGGGAACCAACAAATACAGAAATTGCATGGGAAGTGTTGTCCATTGCTAAAGAAATATTTACTAGACAGTTGAGTAATGGCGAAGATGTCAAATATAAACTGGCAGAGGCTTTACAAAAACTCGGTGAGATTGCCACAGAATGGGAAAACAATGAATTAGCCATTGATTTGTTAACACAATGTTTAAATCTAAGGGAACAATCTCTTCCTGAGGATGATAGACTGATCGCTGAAACTCATTATCATATTGGAAATGCTCATTCCTTCATATCTCAAATCGAAAAAGCTAATGAATGTTTCCAAAAAGCTATTGATGTCATTAAGAAAAGAATTGACAACAAAAAGCGATCTTTAGAAGATGAAAAAATTGACCAAGAGACGACATTCAACATTAAAGAAGAAATCCAAGAGCTAGAAGACTTACTACCTGAGATGGTGGCTCGAATTGAAGATCGTGCCGATCAAATGATGGCTACAATTAAAGATGCTTTAAAATTAGCTGCTAACGATAAAGAGGAAGAGGAAAGAGCCGCTAAACTTAAAGCTATGGAGCCTAAACCGGTCAACAATATCAGTCATCTAGTTAAACGAAAGCGTGTTGACAATGTTGAATCAAATGGTACAACAGGTGGAACCAAGAAATTGTGTACAAATGAACATCAAGCAAAAGAGGTTGAAAAAACTGACGTTTCTTAGATTAAAGCTTAAATAATCATTCTGAATATTATTATCCAACAAAATTGTACTTCACTTTTAAATTCAAATTTCACTCAAACGATTTGAACGAAAATATGTGCACAAATTTTCATTAAGCTCTATATGTAAAGAACTAAAACAAATGTCGTTTCTTAATTAAAATTTACGCATATCAAACTCTAGTTTGCTAGCTTCAACCTTTCTTTATTTCATTGAAAAACCTGACAATCAAGTGCGTTATTTAGTGCGTTATTTATCGATGTATCGAAAGATATCGATTATTTGATACCTTTTTAGCTGCATTTTAAAAAACATCTGATACTGTTTTGCTTTCAAGTTGAAAGTTTCAAAGCTTCAAATTCATTAACTGCTACAATTTTCACTTTTCCTGTCCATTGATATTGTGCATTAATTTTTAGAACGTAATTTTCATCTTCAAAATTTTGTGTTCCCTTCACTCAATCACCTCAATAATTGATCCATCAAAATGAATGCTCCACCCGCATTCGAGTCATTCCTTCTTTTCGAGGGAGAAAAAAAGTAAGTAAACACATAATTTATTGTAATTTTTATCGCAATTAATGTTATTTTCTAATTTTTTTGCAGGATTATAATTGAGAAGGAAACAAAAGTACCTAATGCAGCTATCTTTACTGTCAACAAAGAAGATCATACTCTTGGGAACTTGATTCGTCATCAACTGCTCAAAGATCCGAATGTAATCTTCGCCGGATACAAAGTACCTCATCCCCTTGAGCATAAATTCATTTTAAGAGTTCAAACTACTGGAGATTACACCCCACAAGATGCATTGAAGAATGCTCTTAGTGATTTATGTTCTGAAATTTCTTACATTGAAGAACAATTTAAGGTAACATTAATGATTGTGTTGTGTGATCACAGTTGTGATTTTATTATTGACCCGTTTCTAATTGATCTATTTTCTTTTCTTTCTCAAATACAGAGAGCAATCGATAATCAGAACGATGTTGCTTGAATTAAAACTGAATATCATTCTCGAAATCACAGCATAATTGTGCTTCATTTCAAAATTTCAAACTTATTCCACTCAAAATATTTGAAGAGAAATGCATGCACTGAAAGTTATCAAAATTAAACAATGTAAAAATTCAAACATATTCTTTTCTTGATTAAATTTTTTCATCTTATGGAGTTATCATTGATTTTATTATATTTATTACCGGTAATTAGGAACGATGATTATCCTGTTTTCATGATAAACATTTAAACATGGAATCAGTTGGTGCGCAGTGCTGCCATCTAGCCTTTACCGGAAAATTCATGAAACCAAACACTGTTTAGCTTCTGGTGCATCTTATGATAAATTAAAGTTACTTTATTCTTTATTACTTTCATTGTTTTTTTATTAAAATGTTTCCAATAAGTCATAAAACGGTGATTGTGTTGGACAATAGCTACCGATTTTTGTCAACTTCATGTGGTCAACCTCTAGACTATGATGTTTGCCATAAGATGAAAGGAGGAACACCTAGTGGTATCATTCCTTTGGCTCCTCTAGCTAAATCTTTGTGGACTTCTTCTGTTGAAGCTATTCAAGAATACTCCAGAATAGTTTATGATGTTTTTCCTGGTGGCGAACGACTCCTATCTCTTGTTACCTGTGATGAAATTGGCTTCAAAATTGCCATGGGATGGAATAATGAACAACAGAATTTATCTAACCTCAATGCGTGTTTTGCTCGAAGTAGTTATAATACCAGATCACGAGCCAGCTCTTTTCCTATGGGTGAATGTTTCGGTACAGATGACAGTACACTTGTAAATGGTGTTAAAGCTGCTCTTGAAGCTTTAGGAACACCAACGGTCACACAAACTCAGATGAGAAAGAAAAGCTCTCGAGTTGCCAATTCTGGTCGAGTAATGTTGATAGCGTACTTAAAAAATGAGAATCAGCTAAAAATGGTTACTGAATTTATGGGTGATTGTCTTAGCAAGTATAACATAGCCATGAGAGAAAAGGACGACCCTAACAGATTACCGATAAATGAATGCCATCTTACAATAGTCAATGTTTATCCTGTTGGAGATTTGAGTCCATCCAGCCAAATCAGAGAAATAGCTAATTATTACGTTTCGCCTACACTTTCATGCGAAATTCATTCATCTAGAGGTGGAACAATGTTCGCTTTAAAACTTCTCTCTCTTGTTCAAAGCCATTATCATTTAGCGTCAACTACAGTTACCGGAATTCCAATGAAAGAAGAACAAAATGCTAGCTCATCAGCTAATTATGACGTTGAAATTGTTCACCCAGCTGATGCTCATGTAAACCTTCCTAAAATTGCAACTGGTGCTGGTGGAGGAGATGGTTCTTGTAATCGCATTCCCAAAGAAGATACTAACTACGAAACTATACCCCTAAAATGGTGCACACCGCGAACAACGTCCGTTGAACTTCATCATTGTTCTAGTGCATATAGAATTTCTCCAGTTGATGTTAATAGCCGCCCTTCATCTTGCTTAACTAATTTTCTTTTGAGTGGAAGAACTGTTATGCTCGAAATGACCAAACTCAAAGGATCAAAAGTCATGTCACATATGTTGTCAAGTCACAATGGAGAACTTTATATTCATACTTTATATACTGGTAGATCATTGCTAGAGGATCCTCCTTCTATCAGCGAAGGAATCGGTGGCCGAATAACAGATTATCGTATCAATGATTTCGGGGAATTGATGAAAAGGATAAAACTATCTCCTATCAAACCCTCATTGATTTCTGTAGAGAAAACTATTAGCCCTATTGATAGAGCAATCGGATTTTTAACAAGACAAACGCTGTATTGGCCGATTGTATTAGGTCATTCTATCATGTTCAATTTACAGCTGCACATTGCTCCTCTCATAAATTTAATACCTAAAGATTCACTTTCTGTTGAAGATGTAAATGAATGTAAAAACGCAATCTATCAAATTGTAAAAATGGAAAGCAAAGGTACATCACTCGTTTTGCCATGTGTTGCCAATCGAGGTAAAGGTCCCAAGAAAGAAGAGTTGTATAAATTACTTTGGAAGGAATTGGATCATTACATTGAAATTCATGCATCTACTCCTCAGCATAAAGAAATCCTTTCAACACTTCGAGATCTCCACGTCACAGCAACTTCAGATACTAATCAAGTCGTTAAAAATGAACCAATGTCACCTGATCGTGCAAACAGTCCAAATGGCGATAAACCTGCTACTAGTTCCGTTATCATTCCACCACTCCAAGTACCTTCATCATCGTCATCAATGCCAACATTTACTTCTAACATCAAAGATGAAGCTTTAATGGCATGGAAAGAATTGGATTCTTATAATAATATGACCGAAAGAGAGAAACGCGAGCTTGATGAGAAAAATAAACCACCCGCAAAAAGACTGCGAATTCCTGATATTCAAAGTCCCTCGGACTCAAACTCGTCTGTATCATTGGCTGATGGCAGAATCAATGGCACTGCAATGGACGCGAAAATGGCCAATGGATCAACATCTAATCAAAACTTGTTATCTTTATGGGTTAACCAATTGAATCTTAAATATCGTAAAAGACCAGATTTTGAAGGGAGAGCATTTAAAATAGCTCCTCTTTATATTAATCTCAATCAACCTATTGAATAAATTATTTTATGTTCTTAAAAATCATTTTATTTAAGTCATTTCATTTTTTTTCGTCATTCAATGTTGTTTAAAAACAACAATTTAAAAGTAAAAATTTATAAAAAGCTACTAGTTTAGCATAAAAATTTTTTCATACGACTCAGTCGTAATTTGCATAAAATATATTTTTTTACAATAAAATTGTTACCATTCCCCAACTAATAGTAAACATTTTGTGAGTTTATTTTTCATTTATACCAATGTAATTGACTCATGGGAACATAATGTTGAATATAAAAGGTAATGATAATCCGTTTAAATTAAAATTTTGATAAATGGTATTCGTATTGTCACGAATAACTTGAAGATCAATACCAGTCCGATTAAGCTCAATTTTTCCAGTCTTCGTTGAGAGATTTTTCTATTACATCGTATGGTGGAAACTTCTGTGTAAATGAACCATGGAAAGCAACAATACGATTATACACTAATGGCCATAAAGAATCAAAAACAACTTTTGCTCCAGCATTGTTGAGATGTAGACCATCGACCAGGAGAGATTGCCAGTCAGGATGATTTTTTGTGATGGAATACAAATCAAGACTTGTTACTTGGTTCTCCTCAGCAACTTGCTTGGAAACGTTAGCGTATCCTTCTGGATGCCGTACAGCCATGTTTGGTGGATAACCTTGTGCTTTGGCAAAAGCGTCGTTATTGTAAACTGGGGGAGTCATCAATATGATTTTATCCGATGAAACACCCTGACCTTTAATATAATTTATTATCCAATTCAAATTATCTTTGAATGGCTCAATAGGAACATGTTGAAAGCTTCTGTTATCAACACAGTCATTTGATCCTAAAAGTATCACAAAACAAGCAGCCTTTTCATAATCATCTTTGGTTAATATATCAGGTAGTATTGCACGAATAGATCTTGTGGTATAGCCACTGAAACCTCGATCAACCACATCACTTACTCTGAAATAAAAAAATAAAAATAAAAAATCTTAATACAACAATATAACATTGCGAAGTACAATTGTTATAAACAATTATGATTACCTTTGTAAGTTATGAGCCAACAAAGTTCCCCAACATCCGTTTTCAACAAAGAAAGCACCCTTTAAAGAAAAAAATGGACAAAAAAATCTGATCAAGTTGTGTGAATGAAAAAGAACAGGGTTGACAAGACAGAGTATAATTAAATTAAACCGGACTTGTAATCAAATTACAGTTTCAACAGAAAAGAAACAAATGAAAACTTTGATGTTATTCAATCAAGATTCCCACCAAACACATCAGCCCAAACATAAACAATCAATCAAGATCCCACACAAGATTTCCCGAAATTTACTAGAAATAAAAGTCAAAACATGAAATTTAAAAAAAGTGGAACGATTATTTACCTGAGTTATCGAATCACCAATAAGAATAACTTTGGACCATGTTGTCTGAGCCATGTTAAAGGGAAGAAAAAATATTACTAAAGTTAATGTTTCAAAGGCAAAAAGAAGTCTTTATGATTGATTAAACCTTTGTCTTTTGTTCACTTCTAGTCAGAATATATTAATCAGAGCTAATTAATTAATCAATTAATTGAATAATACAAGGAAAAGAATCTTTTGAAAAGAGAAAAAATTAAAAGAGCTCAAAATGAAGAGCCGAGAATCAGCTTACAAAACAAGTGAGCAAGAGGGAAAGAAAGAGAGGGTAAAACAAAAAAGAGGGATGTTTGAGCAAAGAGATGTTTTAACATGTGACACTTGACCAGTTGATTATTTTCTGATTACTTTTACATCGTGCTTTTTTATCTTCTTTTACCATGTTTATTCATCTATTAAATTGTAATTTATAACTTAATTCACTCCATGTTCAATAATCTGCTAACCGGTCAACGAGTTAACTGTTTTCTGGTAAACTGTTATCTTTTGTCTGTTTCAAACAATCGTTTGCTACGACATTCACAATGTTATCGCTCTTCATTCTATTCAATTTGAATCTTGTTTTCCAGTTTTAACTTAACAATGTAATAAAATATCTTTCCTCTGTTCACCCCAAGCAACGATATTTTGTTATCTTTTCTAAGGTGAGGTCTATTGTCTCATATCTTGAAATGCATTTGATAAGTCATTTTGTGTAGTTAAGATTCTCTGCTAATACTTGTACTTGTTCTTTTGTCTTGCCAGATTCATTCTCTGACGTTCATTGATTAATCGATTGATATCTTTATTGTTGGCTGGTTGGCTGGTTGTTCAACAAATTGAAGCAAATTTTTGCATACTTTCATGGTTATTGGATTGGATTTTCTAGCTGATATGGTTTATATGGTACGTTCAACAATTATTTTCTTGCTTCTTTCAAATATTACTTACATCGTTTCATTTCAATCATCTGTGAATTAATCCATTACTGAATGACTTTGCGTTGCTTTAACTCTCTTAGAGTAGCAATAATGTTAAAGGTAATTGGCTTACAATTATCGACTGATAAGATTGAAATTCTACAAGATAAAATTAAACCTTAAATAAAATTATCTAGAGAAGGCTGATTTTGTGAGCTCTAACAGGTTTGCTACAGTCAATAGAGGAAAGGGAATGAAAGAGAGTAATTTGCATTTAATCTGCATTTATTAGATTCAAACGAATGTGTTAAATCTAGTGAATTAAATTAACTTGTATTCAGCCTAGTTAACAACCATCAAGAATAACACTAGAAGAACAAAAAAAGACAGAAGAAGAAAGCAAATAAAGAAGGAAGAAATGAAATTAAAAGTTATTCAGACGATAATGGTTAAATTTCACTGCTTGATTCTGTATGAAACAGTTTATTAAAGAAACTGATTGTACAAATGAAAATATAAATAAATAAATTAAAAATTTGTTTATTAGATTGATAACCATTGGGAATAATGTATTTTGTATTGCTTTTTTTCCTTATTTTTAGTTATGTGCAGCAACTAGTGTTAAAAGTAATTTATTGTAATCAACTTAATTATTAATAAATCAAGTTGGACCGAGGCAACGAATCTGGATAAGGAAACACTGATACAACCTAAAAATTACATTCAACATGATCATCTTACTAAACCCAAATTCACAAGCTAAATGGTTATCTTCTGGTTCATCTTCTGGTAACAAATGATTTACATCAATTATCTAATCAACACTCTTGCAATTGAACTCGGTAGCCAAGTTATATGAAAAAAATATACCGAAAGAGGCAACAAAAGCTTGTGATTAAATGAAACAATTTAGCTTGGATAAGTGGAAAAGCAGCAGCAAAAGAAACCAAAATGTTAAACTTGTTTACATAATTTAGATTAAAGATGGCAAAAGTAGATGAAGGAGTAATTTTTTGTTGGCGCAACCATTATAAGGATAACAATTTATTTAATTTATGTCCTTGCTACATAATTAACTTTTCCCTTCTCATTTAATTCAATCTTAATCAAATATTATTTTAAACTACATCAACTAAAAGTAAGTAAAATATACACTGGAAACTTCATTAATAAGAGAATTTACAAATTTTTCTTTTTTTCTATCAGCATTTGTTAGAAGGGAAAACAACTTTATCTTCTTCAAGTTTACCTCTAAACGGTTGGTGATACATTTAACCGTAATTGGTTAAACTAACCAAAGGAACAATCAATCGATGGATAAACACATCTGAGCAATCAATCTACTCACATTTGGGTTCCCAGAATCATAAGATGATGGGTTGGAAGAAATTTCAGCTTGAACTCGAGAGGACCGTGAAACGGCAAAGGAAACTAAAGCAAGAGACAAAATCCACTTCATTTTCAGAGCAAAGACAAAGACAATATTGTTAATGATTTGAGATACAATTTACACAATCTATTTATGTATCAAACCAATAAGATCAATCAGTTTAACATAATGCTATCACATGCCATTTTTTATTATTCAATTAACTGTGACGAGATGATTTATCATATAATTGAGTTTACTGTTAACTGGTTAATAACTTTAATCTAGGTTGGTTCAACATCGCAGGTTGAATAAGCTGATAAAAAATACCCAAATTTTATGTTGATAATATTTGACTAGAGATAAAAAATAGCTGTATAATGGGTTGATAATAAATTGTGATGAATCTAAAAATTGGCAGAAATTGAAATTCTGAAAAGTAATTCCCTCATTGACTTACATTATTTCAATGTGTGAAAAAAGTCAATTTATTGACCAGGTTAAAATATAATTAGTTTTTTCTCCTTCAAATTGAGTTTACAGTTAAACTGATAGTGTTGCCATTAAATTGCCTAAGGATAAGCCAAATAAAATTTAAAGCCAAATGTGTACATTACACTCGGTAAAAAAGAGTGAAGTTGATATCAACAAGTAATCACTTTAGTTGACATTAATACCATTACCATTGATTAAATTGCATTTGACAAGGTAGCCAACAGAAAAGGATACAAATAAAAAGTAAAACCAGATTAGCATCAATATTTTCATATTTGAGTTTGACATTGAAAAGATTATTAAAAGCATACAAAATACATTTGAGAAGGAAAAAAACTAGAAAACGAGAAAATAAGAGAAATCGTTATTTCACATCGACCATGAATTGAATGCAACATTTGATGGTTTGGATCATGATGATGATTTTCACCATTTTTTCACTGATAATCCATTGGAATTCAATGCTGAGTCTTTGACAAGTTAAACAGAGAAAAGAGAGGAAAGAAAAGCAAGAATTGAATTAGTCCAGAAATGATGAAAAAAGCAGGCAAAGTAAAAAATGTTTTTACCTTTCACTTATTCTCGCCTTTATATCGATCTAAATCATCTTTTATGATTCTCAAAGGTTCATTCAATTGAAACTTGAAGTGTCACAACAAAATGATGAAACTTATACTTTGAATTTGGACTGTTAGGGGCACTTGTACCTGGAGATTCCGATTACCTTTCACAACTATCAATCAAGGTCAGATTTGTTCGGGATCTTCCGAACCTTATTATCTTTACGTAATTGTTCAGTTAACTATTGTTATCAGCATCAGTCGGATCAACACTCATTCCGTAGAAAAGATCAGTAGAACGTTATCAGTTATTGACAAAGAGGAATCAGGTGATGTTTTATCAGACAACAAGAAGATTAATTAAATCAGTCCAGAGACTGGAAACGAATTGCTTTAGCATGAACATGCAGTTGAGTCGTTTCTTCTAATAATAAGTTGATGAAGTTGAGTTTGAGGGTTCATACTTTATTCCATTGAGCTAAATCAATGCAAGAAGACAGACCGATTTAAATGAAACTTCACAAACATTACAGTTTTCCCTCGGCATGCAAAGGTACCCGGGACACCAAAATCGCCCAGAGATTGACGACGATGATTATTGTCCGTAAAAATTTCTAGGTGCAAAAATTATTTAATGTCTTCCTGAGCAGTTCACTCAAAATGACCTTGTATTACCTCGATTTTGAAATATGACAACAAGTGTATCAGCGAAACTTACATAAAAAAATCGCAGATTGGTCGGTCAAACAGAGCCGAACAGGCTTTTGCTGAATTTCCCCGTGCTTGTACGAATATTAATTATCAAGTATTCCAGTGCAGAAATCATGAGAGAGTGCAAAGGAATTTTTGTTTTAAGTTTTAACGTTTTTCCAATAATTATCGTCATTGAAGATACAAAAAATGCAACTTGAAAGGTTTGACTTTAAAGTCTACATTTTTGAAAAATTTTAATTAATCGTTTCATCCAAAGCTTAATTGTTTGCTTAATGATGAAAAATTCAATTCATTTCACGCTTTTCATTTCTCATGCAAAGTGACAATTGATTGATACATTTTTCAATAACTTTTCATTTTTGTTTTGCAAATCAATCAAACAAAAAAAGGAAAAGAGGCAAAAATGAAATTAAAATTGAGCCAAGGTTAAAGTATTACAAGTTTAAACTGTTTTGTCTTTAAACTGTTGAGAGTTGAAAGGAGAGCAAAAAGTGTAGTTGCACTTATCTGAACTTTTCTCACCTTTATTCATATTTTGACTCTACACATATTTCCCCTTGATTCTCCCTGTTAATTTAAACTCCCTGTTAAAGGTAACAACAACAACACACACACACTCCAACGATAAAATAGTTGAAGACACAAATTGGATTAATGAGCAAGTGCCAAAAGTTGAATGAATGATTAGAAAGGTTGTACGATTTGCCTTAACATTCATCTTGTTTCTTCTGTTTCTTTTCTTCATCATTATCATCTTCTTTACACCTTTCATCTTCTCATCTTTTACTGTCATGATTATGATTGAATGCAGATGACAATCTGCCAACTGATTGATCGATCAATTTGCTGGTCCAATAATGCATCCAAAATAACAATAACTCGAAACTTGCACACATTTCTACATCAACTTATCACGCAATTTACAAGTTGATCAATGTTTTATTTCCCAGCTTGCCTCCTCAATCCCAGTTGATGGTGAAGCAAAAGAAGCCAGAAAAAAAAGGCAGAGAAAAGACCAAAAAAAATGTTGAATTCAAAATTGAATATCAGTTGACCCAAACTCTGGTTAAAAGTGTAAACCAGGAAAAATAATGTTCTTCCCTTTACCTTTTACCTTCACTAATGGAACCAATAAAGACAAACAAGTAAATTAAATGTAACAAAGCGTTAAAACAATCAGCTTGATAACATTAAGGTCATTAATCAAAAATCATTACAAGCAAAGCGACTGAAACTGTAAATATTATTTCTGTTGCCATTTTCATCATTATCCAGACTCGAAGCTTTTCATTTGCAATCAAACGTATATTATCATTATTTTTATTATTTTTTCTTCTTCTCATCATTATTAAAGTTGCTCTTCAAGATGAACACCAAGAACGAAGGAAAGATAAACATTATTCAGATAGATGAATATTATATGGTTTGCTGTATATTAAATACAGAATCAAGTCTCTTAATTTATTTGATGAGTTCCAATAGTTGAAGGTATCAAACCAGGCAAAGATAACATAAGTTTAACTCGTAATGATCATAATAGTTATAGTGGTAATAAAAAGCGATGATAATGGCTGTTAATGCAAACTGTACAAGTTGAACAGTTAATGGGTTAAGATAACAGTAAACTTAATTGTCAATCCTTTTACTATTTAAGGTTATCATTATTACTTCTTTTACTTTTGGCTTTACCTTCTTCGCCTTCCATGGGCACAAAATTTCCAAATGATAAGTTAACTGGTAAAAATTTCATTTAAATAAGTGTAACAACCAATAGATACAAATATTATCTGGTAATATGAACAAGATAATGACTCTCGTTACGAGTTGAAATTATTTTTAATCAAACAATTTTCTTCCTTTTCCCATGTTGAACCTCATTCTTCATTCAGATGAATCTTGCCCAATTCAATTATCTCTTGCACTTCATTGATTATAATTTCGTTTCTCAAGTTAATTAAATTGCAATAACTCGTGTTTTCACCTTTTCTGTGCTTTTTCCCTTTTCCTTTCCATCATTTCACTCACTAGCGTTTCATATACAATTATCATTAATTGTCGTTTTTTGGATAATTAATGCTCTAAATTGGTTTCATTATTGCTGCTCATTTGAAAACGTTTTTTAGCTTTTGTTGACCATTTTACAATTACTTTTAATTGCTATTTAAGTACGATTTCAAGCTGTAATTAACATCTGTCAAATTGAACAGTTTCTTGACCAGAACTTTAATGGAAAATTATTTTATCATTCGATTGTCTGGGATCAAGTTTGGACTTATTTTTATGGTTCGAATTCAATTTTGTTTAAACATTTCATTCTTTTATCACCACGGATTTACTGGGAGTTTGTGTTCAATCTTTTTATTGGATTTATCAAATTCTCTGTTGGATTTCGTTTTTGCATAAAAACTAACTAAAGGCCATGTAAGGCAATCTGCTGTCTACCAAATTTAAAGATTTTACAGAAAAAATTTGAAAAAAATCATTTTTGTGAATAACTTTGCTAGGCAGTTAAGCTTGTTTAATATTTGTCAGTGTTTTTTGATGATAGCACTTGTTGATTGCAATTTTGTTGTTACAATAAGAGTGGAAAAGGTTGAATCAAAAGTAAGGACACGAGTATATCTGGCCGACTTTTGATTCAATTAGAAACCTATCTAACTCATACTGTCCGATAATAAACTGTGGTTGAGCTAGTCCTGTGGCTAAAGTTGCTTGGAGTCTCGAGTTCAAATCTGCAATACAGTCTATGAAAGGCCAACGCATACAGCATGAATATGGAGTCGAGAAACAATTTCATTGATTGCTTGTAGCCCTCACATTTATCGAGCTGCATCCGTTGAGCTTTCATTTTGCTTACCAAAAGTGACCTCAACATCTATTTTGTTCAAATTTCTCGCAAAACTCCACCAATGCTCACTGATTTGAGAGTTCAATAAAATTTTCTTTGAATTCTTCTTTGGGAATTCCAAAATACTGTTGACATTTATTAGGTCTAGACTGAAGGATATTATTATTTGTTTAAACATTGTTTAGTTTTGCTTTCTTCCAACTATTTCACTATATCATTTTTGATCAAGTTTAAACTCAATTTAGGTCAAAGTCAGATATCAGGCTTAGCATTATTGACTAGAATAGCCACCATTCGCTAACTTCCGAAAGTTGTCTAAAGGTGCAAAATAGTCTCAACTATCAACTGAGTATGGGTGACAATAAATACCGACCAGTTTTTCATTTAAAGCCAGTAGTTATCAAAATTCCTGTTCTGGACCCAACTCGTCCTCTCTAGACCAACTTGCGGTTCTGGACCAACTTGAGGTCCTGGACCAACGGTGTGCTCTTTTTTTGATAAAAAACAAAGTTTTTCTATGAGAAATTGGTTTTAATGGAAACAACTTGAAGTGAATATAGATTTAAAAAAGATATGGAATGAAATTGAAGATTTCTATTATTATTATTCTCTTCGAGCTGCCGAACTCGCTCTTCTGCCCAGCGAAGATAACGTTCCTGGAATACTTCTTTGGGAATTCCAAAATACTGTTGACATTTGGAGTCAATGTACGCAATAAATTTTTCTTTATCTGCGATGTCTTCCTCCAATCGTTGCATATGTTCTTGATAATTGTCAATCATCATCTGTTGAGCATCCAGGATGATTTCCAGTTTTTCAATTCTTTCTTCTTTTTCCTCCTTTTCTCTTTCAATTTGGTCATTTTCCCGTTGCTGGGCCAGGAGATAGGTCTTCAACCGCTCCACTTCATTTTGAATATTCATATTAGCAATCTTATCCCTTTCGGAAAGATCAATATACATGATTGCGTTGTCGATCATTCTTCTTCATTCTTCGGTCGATCAATCTAATAGCACTCTGTCGGTATAAAATTTGGTCCAGGACCTCAAGTTGGTCCAGAACCGCAAGTTGGTCCAGAACCGCAAGTTGGTCCAGAGCGGACGAGTTGGTCCAGTACGGACGAGTTGGGTCCAGAACAGGACTTTTGATAACTACTAAAGCCTGTTAGCAACCATAACTCACGAACAGTTATTGCTACAGATCTCAGACTTGAACCATGAGTTTCTGCAGGTTGAAAAATTATATTTCTTACACTCAACGTAATTCAAGGTAAATCCGTTATTCTATCTCTAATTGACATTTAAAGGCCATTTTCTGAGAGTAAAGAATTTTTCATATCGTTCAATGTTAGTCACTTATCTCTAGAGTGTGCGAGCTTAAGAATATGAGTGTTTCTATACGATTCAGTTAAAAAAATTGCTTTTGACAAAATTCGGCTTTCTGTCCAATGGTATGAGCTATAAACATTCGACTTTAATTAACCTATCTAAAAAAATTCTTACTCTCTGAAAAATGACTTTCAAATGTCATTTAGAGTAAAATAACGGATTCACCTTGAATGACCTTGAGTGTTTAAATTTATGGCTGGTAGATCTGCGGGAGAGTATGGTTCAAGTCTGAGGTCTAGCACCAACCGTTTGTGAGTTATGCTTGCAAACAGGCGTAAAATGAATAAAACGCCGGGTATACAATTGTAGATATAAAACAAATCAAAGTTATTTATGGTGATTCCCACAAGTTTGCAACTGTGACCGTGCAAGTGAAACAATTCTTTAATATAGTTTACAAGATATCACCGGTCGTGCTGACATTAGATTGTTGGTTGTTACCTTCCCGCCGAATGATGTTCTAGTGCAATTCTGAAATCTTGAAAGTATTCATTTACTAATCTTGTTCATGAACTACTAAATTTTGAGAGTTGGCTGGAGAAGTTTTCCGATTCCCTGTTTTGCCTGTAACTTGGAGATAGCTAATATTCTGTCATCAGCTCTGTATCAAAGTAAAATGTCAAATGAAAAAACTGTTTCTTAAAATGGCTTTGAATTTACGAACAGTGAAATTGGGAGACTCTTACCTATGAATTCTGTATTGAACTTGAAATGTACATCTGTCGTGAACTTTGGTCTTTAAGTGATCTAAAAGAGTTTATTGACTTTTGCTCAGTTAACTAGCTCTTATAATCTACAAGACTATTAAATATTAATGAAAACTAAATTTATTGCAGAGTTTTCCTTATAAAAAGCTTCTTTTTAATCTTCAACTCTATTTAATCTCATAAATTTAGCAAATATTTCGAGTCAACTTGAATTTTGAATATTAAAAGACTAAACTTGGAGGGTGAAAGAAATTTTTTATCTCATTAACAATCTAAATTCATGAATAAACTTTGGTCAATAATATTGGTCAGACAAGTGGTTAAAGGTGATAACAGGAAAAAAATGGCATTTTAAATGGTCGATTGAATGGAGAACAGAAAAGTTGAAATGCACAACATTGCTAACGATTGTATCAGTTGGTAGGAAGAACAAGAAAAAAGCACAACAGGAATTAAATAAGAGAATGTAATTTACCATGAAAAAGTGTAAAAAGAAAAGAATGGCGAAAAAATGATAAATCTGAATAAATAAGGAAAGATAAACTGAAACCAATGTTAACTGTAAATGACACTTAACATCTTATTTTTTCTATTTGTTTTTCCATTCTTTTCTCATTTCATTCTTTTGTGCTCATTTCACTTGGAACTTTTCATTTTCATAAATAGCAATAACAATAAGGTGAGAATGATAATGATGAAGAATGAAGAATGAAAAGTGTTGATATTTGCTGGTTAAACACTGAGAGAAGAAGAAGAAAAAAAAGTGAAGAAAAAATGTGAACAAGAATAAATTCTGAGACGACACAAAATGTAGACACCATGTATTTGGTAAGAACTTTTGTCCCCAATGAAGATGAAGATGGAGAGAGAAAGAGAGAAAGGTAAAGTTTGAAACATGAACATGAAACTGATTTGTTGAACCAATTTTTGGTCGATCGATAACTAACTGTTTAATGTTTAAATTATTCAAACTTAGGTAATACAAAAGGATGGGAAAGAGTATAAGATGGGAAAAGGAAGAGAAATAAATTTCTTGTTTCTGTCTACTTTTCATTTACCATTTTCCCTTATCTTCAGCATCTTCACCCATCGCTGCCATCCTTCACCTTGTTCAATGCAATTTATTCATGTCTAGTTGTGAGTTTTACCATGTAACTATCTGTATGACCGGATATCCGAATATTTCAATTTTCCTATTCTCTTCTTTTCTTCTCTTTTTTTGTCATCTTCTCTTCTCCAACTTTACCCAATTGTGACCATTCCATCATTTTATCCATTCTTCCATGTAATCACAATTTTCCTTGTTCCATCACCTATTATTGTTACAATTAAATGTACCAATTAGAGTTAAACTCGACTTGTTCAACTTTACATTCCTTCATGATCTTTGGCCAGAGAAACAGGAAAATGAAAAACAACTGAAAATGATTGATAAATATTGCCATTTTCATTATTAAATTCATTGTCATTTGGGTTCAACTTTAACCAGAAAATTTTTTCTCTCGCTTTGTTTTCTTCTTCTCCAAAAGTTTGAATCAATTCTCTAATGTGTTTTAATAATAGATGAAGATACATAAGATTCTCAGTGTATTATTAAATTCCATGTTCATTAATAAATCTTGCCAATTCTCTTGTAATTCATTGTGAACATTAAGCAATATGAATAACACACAATCTGATAATCTGCAGATGTAATTTCATCCACTTTTCAGTTTGCAACACCAATCTGGTTCTGGTTTTCAACTTTTCTATTCATTCGCCTTTCGTCTCGAAACTTGTGTGATCTGTTTGATGTTAATTTACATTTGAGTTTTTGCATGGAACAAATCAACTTCAGGTTAAGGGGAATGAAAACAAAAGGCAAAATCACATAAGTTGATCATGAAAAGGCATTTTTCACTTTAGTCATTAAGTGTATTTCAAGATTTAATTAGAAGAAATGTTGCAACTTCTTTTCGAATTTCAGGAACTTGTCTTCAATTAAATGTATATCATTGTTAATCTTTTGAAATCAAGTTATCGACTGTAATATTTTCTCTAAAAGCAATAAGTTAAATGTTGGCTTAAAGTTTATCATTATTGTTTGTTCCTTGGTTGGCTAATAATATCGTAAGTACTTTGCCTGAGTATCTTTTAGATAATTTTTGTCTATCGATTTGTAGTTACCTTATAAGATCTTGAGCTGGACTCAATTCAAGATGAAGATTCAATCCAATGGATAAGGAAATCAGAAATGCATGGAATCAAATGATGAAATAATAAAAATTATAAATGATTCAATGTTCATCAGAGTATCTTTGGAAGTTTTGATTTGAGTATGAAAATCTAATTGATCGGTCCACAAATGGTTGGCAAAACTCGACTTAACCCAAAGACAATCAAAATGAAAGCAAAAAGTTGAACTCATTTACCTAAAAAGGAAAGTAAATCAACTTTGACTACAATTTAGTTAACTTTAATGATTATCTGTGTAATTGTTTGCAATTTTTTCTTCATTCGCCTGTAGCTTTAACCAGTGAAAAGTGAAAATATCGATAGAAAAATTCTGATGAAGAGAATGTTGCGAAAATTGCGCAAAATCGGTATCTTTTTTACCATGCAATATGAGAAAGAAACTCTGACAGGAAAGAGAATTGAACTTGCTATTCTCACTTGGTGAATGGTGAGAGAGAGACACACAGGCAAAAAGACAGAGAAGATGAGAAAAGAGTGAGAAATGATGTGAAAGAAGATATCTATTGCTCTCGCGTATATCATTTCTCAGTTTTGTCCAAATAATTTTAAGGTAAACGTTATCAATTGCCATTTTTACTCGACTAACCTTAACATTAAAACAATGTTCAACTAATTTCTCCTTTTATAGCAAAGTTATTATAACAATTGAAAGTCATCAGTGATAAGTTAATCTTCATCAGTTTCATCCCTTTCATCCTCTTCATCATCATCATCATCATCACCAATAATTTTAGCAACTTTTATCATTTCCCTTTTGTTTCTAGTTCAGTGAAAGAGAAGCAGAAAAAGGATAAAAATTGTTCCTATTCTTAGTTAAACCTTATTTCAAATTGGAATTAACAATTGTGATAAATTTCAATTTTGTGATTTTCCATTTTTCGTCGTTTAAATTGTTTGTGATATTCAACAATAAAATTGTGCTTCACTAATTGTTACCAGCAAGAAGAATAAAAATTTAGTGAAAACTCAAGTGTGCATTAAATTGAATAAAAAGTGAAGTGCAAACAAAACAAGTGAACAATCAGTTTTTTGGTAAATTGATTGGTGCTTCATGAAAACAAACTGAGAACAAGAATGAACAATTTGGATTATCATTTACAATCAGCTAAATGTAAGTAACGTTGCAACAAGTTAAAGACTGATACGATTCCAAATTTGATTTACATTTGGCAAACATTTATCATGAAAGTCACCAAATCGTATAGGCTGTATGTACAAATGCCTATAACCTTTAAGAAACAAAACTTGTATTTACTCTTCATTATCATGATCGTATGTTCATCTTTACTCTTTGCGATTCTTCTGATAACTGCTCAACGGCTCATTGAACCTTGATTAAAACGGAAACTCCAATTAAACCATTCATCCGCAAGTCTCATTATTGACACCATGTGACCGCTCAAATCAATCTGTTTTAATCAAGTAAAGTCTCGGGTTGAGAGGGAAAAGCAAAAATTTCCTTGAACAAAAGAAAAGTAAAAGTTGAAAATTTTTTCTTTTCTGGGTTCCAATGATTGTTTTGCAAGGTTCAATTTAGTTTTGCCATTTGATGAAAAAGAAAAGGCAAAATTAACCTTCAACTGAACCAATGGCCATTCATTAAGATAGCCTCTTTTACCCTGTTATTATCCTTTTCCCCTGGTTGTGTCAATATTTTTCAACTTGAAAAAACAAAAGGAAACGCGAAATGAAGCGCAAACTAAAAGTTGATCTCAAGAGGTTTACATACAGCTTTATATGCTTGTCAAAGTTATTTTACTTTTCTCATCCTTCTTCACCATTCGAGGCTAACCTTTTTATACTTTTGCACACCTTGAAAGTTTAATATCATATTCCAAGCGAATCATGATGATTACATTATTTGTTTACTTTGGTCTCATCATTATTGGACTTGCCTTGGAATCGATATTAATAAAGTGGAGAAAAAGAAAAAGCAAAGAAGATAAACTCGTAAAATTCAAGTGTCGATATTAAATACTTTTTAATCATTTTCTTCACGTTCGTCTCTCGATTCAGTTGCAACCTTTGTTTTCCAATGAATGGAAAAGGTGAAAATATATAAAAAAAAGTAAACTTTTCAATCAAAAAGTTGATCAAATGAACTGAAAACGTGAAAAAATTCAATGAAACTTTAGACACTTTCCATTGATATCTGATGTTTCCCTCAACACTGTCAACCTGACAAACCCACTAATTAACCTCATTTTATTCAACTTCTCACTCTTATTGGTATTATCATGTTAATTATTGTAAAGGTTTCGAATGAGCGAAAAGAGAAAAAGATAAGCGAAAAAAGAGACAAAATTCTCAGTCAATATTGATATTAATATCATTATTATTACCTATTATTATCCATGGAATAATTAAGTTAGACGAAGAAAGAAACAGCTCAAAACAAATATTCCCATCGTTGGCTGGGAGTGAGACAATAATATAATAACTTTGATGATAAAAAATAATGACACTTGAAATAACATGATAATATCAACAACAATATTGTTTGAGTTTTTACCTTTTTCCTTCTGTTCTTCTTCTGGATAAAGTTTACCTTCATTAATGGCGATGATTATGAGTTATAAAAAAAGCAGCAGCCAAAGAGATATATTGAGTCAATAAAAGTGTCTATCTGTTCATGATGAGTTTCAGGGAAAATAGCAAACTCAGACAATGGGAAAGTGTATTAAATTGAAAAGTAAAGTGATGATAATGACGAGACTCGTAATCATTTGATTCCAAATCAAGTTACATGAGTTTTCAATTTTTCAGAGTTTCGACTCAATTAGCTTCCATTAACACTTTAAATATTTAACTTTTCCTTTCAAATTAAATTTTTATTCAAATCGATTTCAGACATTTTTTAGTCTCATTTTATTGTTTCTGCTTTTGGGTTGAAATCTGGTGAAATCAAAGTTAATCAATTTGATACAATTGGATTTAGAGGATTTAAATGATGTTTATCATTAAATTAACTTGGTTTCCAGTTTTGTTGCTGGTCCAATCAATCAATATATTAAGTTGAAATTGATTAACAAGTTTCACTGTTGTTCATTTGGTATTCACATTAATCTGCTTTTATCTTTGCGTTCAACTTTGTTTCTTTTGCCTTTTAGTTGTTTCTTATTATCGGATTGGGATGATGCTTGTTATCCATTCAATTGGCATGATAAATTTAGGTTGCTCATGGAAATGTCTGATTTCGTTAAGATGAACAAGAGAGAGAAAGAGAAAGAAGGAAAAAGTGAAATAGTAACCGATATTGGACTTGATAATGAAACAGGGAATGAAGATTATTGGATAAGGATAAGATTTTTTTTCTTCTTCTTCTTTTCCTTTACTGGATAACTGATATTACTCGTGTATTGAGATGTTCAGATAAACATGAGAGCAAAAAATGAAGACAAAGTTGAATCTAAATAAAAGGCTGAACAAAGATTCTAATTCCTAGATTTTTTTCTCAGATTTCCATCATTATCATTCAGTCTAGAACAGTACTCTCCATCAATACTACATGTGATACTGTACTTGATTACCAGTTACAATTATATTTACAAACAAGAACAATGTCTTTACTATGAATAAGTAAACTTTACAAGATAAATCTATTTCCATTAATAATAATAATACAAAAATATCTTTAATACAAATAAACTGAATAATAAACGAATTTAAATGCTATTTTCAGGTTCAAGTTATCATTTCATGTTGAAGTTTGCTCAAAAATTTTCAAAGAAAACATTTCTAGTTTGAATTGGTTGGAAGACAGCAAGAACTTCAGTTAAAGTTTAAGTCTTAAGTCTTTAGTACAGTTTTGAATCAATGTGTTGTCAACCCATTTAACATTTTTTGTGTTAAACATTGTTTTAACCGTTTCCAGACAGTCCATTACATTTGATTTTTTAGTCTTAACCTTCGATCTATTTGGTTCATAAGAGTTATGTCTTGAATTGTACAGACCCCCTCCTGGTCCTTTCCATATTTGCTTTCTTTACTGTAAAAGTAATGGCCAAGGACAGGTAAAACTTTGTAAATGTAAATTTTATGAATGGACAGACCTTTTAACCACCTCAGTGGTTTTATTTTTATATTTTGAAGTAACTGCAACCTGTGAGATTTTCACCTTTGTTTTAACCTCACCTCTTGTATTAATGCTTTTGTTTGCTCAACTTTTGTTGATTATCTCGATAAATTGTTTGTCCAACCTTACATTGAACTCTCATCGTGTTTCGGTGAATAAAAAGATCTGATAAAGCTTGTCTTAGACTCGACAAAAGTTCGTTCAAGACTTGATCATAATATTTTTTACAACTTGCTCAGGTCAATTTAATTGCTTCAATTGAGTTTATAATTTATTATACAAGATATTATTTATTTATTATTGTAAAAGATAGACATTTGAAGGTCTCTACATTTTAGAAACAGAATGAATAGAGTCTACGATTAATAACCAAGACTTTTCTACTTTCACTTGAAGATCAATCTATTCACCGAAGAGTCTTGCAGATTAGAACTTTTTTCATTGGAAAGAGTAAGAATCGTATCAATTTCCAAATTAAGATAACGTTTCAAGTTTCACCTGAGGAATCAAGGTTTCAACTTGTCAGCCTGGATTTTCCTCAAACGTTCAATTTAAATGTGATTTAAAAGGAAATGTTTATTAAGATCAACTTTAGTCAGTTATCAATATGAAATATTCAGTTCTTTTGCTCATTTTTCATTGGAAATCATTTAATAGCTTTAAAACTCGCAACATTATTGTTATCACTTTTTTGTTCATGTAACTTGGGATTATGACAAAAACTGTACCCTGACGATGTATGATGTAAAGTGGATGAATAGACTGATGATGAAAGTGAAGGAAAAGATTGGAAAATCAAACAAACCAGAACAAAATGAGATGAAATAAGAAATGGAAACTTTCATGATAAAGATGAGAATAAATTTCTTTTGGCTTTATTTCCCTCTTTCCCCCAAAGTTCCAAGTTGCAAGGCTGAAAAGTAAAAGAAGAAGAAGAAAAAAAATAAATAAATAAACTGAAAATCATCTCGAAATCTTGTAAAGGTTGACTCGGATCAAGGCGAAAGGAAAAAGAAGAAAAAAGGTAAAAAATTTTCTCTTTAAACTGAAAAGCTAAAAGCATATCAATTTCATTTTATCCTGTTCTTCATCTTGAATCAGATTTATAATAATAACATGATAATATTGAGAAGAAAAGACAAAAAAGTAGAAAAGCTAAAATCTCCCAACATTTTGACAATAAGAAAAGTAAATTCCTCAGGATAAATCATAAAGTAATCAGAATTTACTTGTTCATGGAGAAGAAAAAAAGAGAAACTAAAAAATCGAAACACTAAATCATTATACATGAGTTGATTAATTTAATTTGCTTCTACATTTGATTCAATAATTAGGTTTCTCTTTGGAAAGATGTTGCTTCAAGTGAACAAAATTCATTGAAAATGTTGAGTTAAATAATCATTTTACCTCTTAAAACTTAAGTTTCCCTGAATTATCGTCATCATTATTTTTCAAGTGTTGATTATGATTCACTTGATTTCCAACATTTTTCAGCATTTTTCCTTTTTCTTCTTGAGGTTTAACCCAATTTACATTATAATGTGAAGTAAATTGGTAAATAAAAAGCGATACATTTCTCCTTGTTCATCATTTTCTTTCAATATTATTCAGTTCAGTTTGCATTCTCTCTCATTACAGTAAGAATTTTACATTTTTACCTGGTTACTTCCGATTCAAAGGATTTAGATTCATCACAATTTTCTTCTTCTGTTTTTCAGAAGAGAAGCAAGAAAAGCAAAGAGGAAGTCAAATGAATGTAAAAATAAGTTTACATCTAAACATTTGGATATTATTCAACAAAAGAGTATCAAAACTGATGATGTAAACAGAACATGATGATCATGATGATGACAAAAGGAAAAAGGAAATGAAAGAGTGAAATGAAAATGAGAGAAATTTGATTCTTTAATTTATCTTTATTTTCCATTTCATGGAGAAGTTCAATTGAAAGTACAAAATGTAAACAAGAAACGTTCATCAGCTTAATTTCATCTACAAAATGATAATTTATTTACAATCAGCTTTCAAACCAGAAG